CAGCTTTCTGTAGCTGTGACAAAATATCTGCTGTAAGCAACTTAAAGGAGGAAAGGTTTATTTAAGGCTCACGGTTTCAGGAGGTCAGTCCATGGCTGGTGGGTTCCATGGTTTTTAGGTCGGGGTGAGGCATGGTGACAGGTAGCAGAGGTCACAGCCTCGAGACCTGCTTCCTCTAACATGCCCACCTTCTAACAGCCCATTCCAGGACTGTCCACTCACTTTCCACAGCCTCAACCCTGGTACAGGACTCCTTAAATCCATAACTCATAAAAATGCATACTTGGAAAACATCCATCCTCCTCACTTCGTAAAGAATTTACGTTAAGTATTTTCTAAAAAAAAAATGTGCAAAATCACCAGTGAAACCATCTGGGTTTAAATTTTTTCCTTGGTGGGTGGTTTTTAAATTACTAATTTGCAGGGGTTTTTTCTTATAAGTTTACCCTGTTTTCTATTTCTGTTTGAGACAGTTTTAGCTATCTGCATCCTTCAAATAATTTTTTCCTTTCATCTAAATTAATTGGTATCGTTTCCATTTCATAAATGATGAAACCTAAATTTATGGAGGTTAGGGACTTTCCCAGGGTGAAAAGCTCATCAGCAGTCCTATCTTAAGTCAGGATCAGATGCAGGGCAGTTTCATGCAAAATCTATCGCTTTAACCACTTGGTTAAATAATTCCGCATCTTCTGCAGAAGGAAGAGCAGCAGTATCACAAACACTAGCCTGGAGAGGAGAACAAAGCGGTGGCTGAACAGTCCTTCCGGACACTAGCACACACACTAAGACGGTCCCTGAAGCAGTGTGGCATGGCTCGCTGGGTGCAGGTCTGTGGGAAGAACTCACGGCCTGTGGACAGGCCTGGGATGCGCAGATGTAGTGGCCATGACCCGAGCCACTTCAAGGTCCTCCTGCTCCTCGGCTAAATATGCCTTTGTCTACCGTGTGGGCCCAGGGCTGGCCCACACTGACCTCAGGGACGCGTCACCCGGTGCCCGGAGGTCTCTGTCTTGGCTCATGGTTTAGGAGTTCCAGACACTCTGCCAGCAGCCTTCCAGGAGGCAGACATCAGCCTGCGCCACCTGCATCGCCCGCACAGCCCCACAGGCACACGTGAGGGTGGAAATGGCTTTCTGGGGTGTTCCACTGTCCGCCCTCACTTCTGACTTCCTCTCATGACATCGAGCAGCCTGGGATCACTCTGGCTGGCGGTTGTGCCTTTGTGGTGGCATCTTTTCTGCCCTGGGTCCCTTCCCTTCCCGGAATCACCGTGCTGCGTGTCTCAGGGATCACTGGAGGGTGTAACGTCTGTGAGGCCGCTCCTTACACCCCTCCTCAATTACTGATTCCTGGGCCTCTCTGGCCCAGAGCCCCTCTTCTGTCGTCGACACCAGTCTTTACCTGTCACCTGTGTGGCAGATACATTTACCCCCAAAATGTCATTTTTCAGGTACTTCACTTCTGGTGCCCTTTACTCCAAAATCTAGATTTTCTCTGTCTCTAAACCTCCATCAGTAAATTTAGTGCCTTCTCCTGGCTTTTCTACAAATGTGCTTTTTCCGTGTAAACCATTAACTCCTCAGGCATCTAATTGTGCCTGCAGAGGGAGCTAGACATACGTGGGGTTTTCCTCTGGTTACGTCTGAGTCTTCCGGTCCTCTATGTAAAACGCGACCTTGTTCTTACTGAGCTCAAAGGCACCTCTGGATATCAAATTCCTGTCTCCGCCGGGGCCTGGGCTGTCTGTTGTTGCTCTGTCCCACCATCCTTTTGCGTCAAGAATTCGGACTGGCTGTCACTTCTCTTCTTTAATAAATCAACCATTCTGATTTACTTTTCTATATCAAGGTTAAGTTTTTAAATTTTTCTAATACAAAATTTAATTGCAATGGTTTTGAATTTGTAAGATAATCTAGCAGCACAGGTCTTCCCAGCGGAGACCTTGGCCTCTGCCCCTGCTGGTCGTCTCGCCCTGCTGCTCCCCCTCCACGTGCTGGTGCAGTCCCCGACCCTGGCTTTCCCACCCCATGTGAAAGGCCAGCACCAGAGCAGACAGGATGCGCTGGTTGTGGCCATGTGCATCTGCTCATCGTTTTATATGAGGGAATTTTTCTTTTTTCTTTTTCTTTCTTTCTTTGAAACAGGCTCTTACTCAGGAGCCCGGGCTCCCGTCAAACTTGAAGTGGTCCCCCTGCCTCAGCCTCCTGAGCACTGGGATCACAGGTGAGCATCACCACGTGGATTAGAAAATAATTTTTCACTGCACCAAGATCCATAGAGAAGAACTTTCCCCTGACATCCTGTCCTCTGCTACAAGGAATCTATTATCAAGATTTTGCCAGAAGAAAGGAAAAACTAGTTACATCGTGTGATTACTGCATTAAGAAGAGGGAAAGCAGGCTATAAGATTATATGCACCAACCACACAGGGAAGGGCACAGGTGGGGACAGCAATCCCGCGCGCATCCCCCGCTGACTGAGTGGTGAACAAGCTTTGCTTTCCAAAAGTCCTTTAACTTTCTCTCCTGCATTACATATTTTAACTGTTCTACTTTAAAAGGTAGAAAGTGTTACTAACCAGGATGAAACAGAAGGACCACTGGTTTAACCTCGGGGAAAACTTCAGCATGTCTCCTGAAGGAGCCTCTGAGTGGTTTTAAAACCTCGCAGTGGGAAAGACACGCAGACCACGAGCGCCAAGCCGAGGTCCAGCTCCGGCTCACCAGAGCCCAGCCGGCCGCTCGCTCGGTGCACCTTGATGCCCTGACAACGTGCTCAGTTCCCAAGTAGGTCAAGGTGGTCACTGTGACCCTGTTTGGCTGGCTGATTTGCATCTGAGGCTCTTCCTAAGTCCACAGAACCACTCCCCCCCCAAGCCGGATGGTATTAACCAACCGTAGTGACACAGCGCCTCGCCACTTACCAAGTGCATTGAGTTTTGTTTTCCTAATATGAATAAAACCAAAATAACCCTGACTCCAGCTGAGGCTGGCAGACCTGCACTCCCGGCTGGGTGCACAAGGCGGGGGACCCCACTGCCTGCTTTGACTATGGGGTCTCCCACTATTTCATTTTCATGTCAGCCCAACAAGGTTGGATTAAGGTGTCAGACAGCGGCAATGTGCTTGGGTCACGTCCACAGGTGTAAGTGTTTACCACCCAGCAGACATTAAATGAGCCATTACTTCATGTGTGGTGCAAACAGGGGCCACAAGTGGTAGAGGCTGAGGGCCTCAGCCACGGTCCATCCTTACCAGTCTCAACACAAGCCACCCACGTGGACCTGGGTCTTCGCACACTCAGGCAAAGGGACACCCCCTCATCCACCCTCCTCAACAGAAAGACTCACAGTGCCCCCCTGTCACCACCTGCAATCACCACCCTCAGGCCTGTCCCCAGCACACACATCTGCCGTGTGTGTGTGTGTGTGTGTGTGTGTGTGTGTGTGTGTGTGTTGATGGGTGCCCTCAGGAATACCTGCAAACGCGCTGCAGGATCCCAAGACTTCTGATCCTCCGGGCCATCCTCCTCCAGCCCCGGGTGGCAGCTCCCGGAGGAGGACTGTTTTCAAGTTTCCAGGTCCAGACAGTTCTGAAACCAGTGTCCCTCGTCCTCACAGTGGGCCGTTGGCGCGGACGTGGATCACGCACAGAGGCGTGGGCTGCCGCTTCACCGTACCCACAGCAGCAGTGACCCGGACTTCCAGTGCCCGCCCCCGTGCCCCTCGGGGTCACGCTCTCTCTAGCAGCCGCAGCGACCCGTTTCTTGGTTCATTGCGCCATCTGCTGGTGAGTTCGGGGAGCCCCTTCTCTCCAAACCGGAATTCACCTCCTCGTGGTACTCCACACTGTCCTGGAAGCTCAAAAAAGTGAAAAATCCTTGCAGAAGCGTTTCCAAACTGTTCCTCGCTTTTCGTTCTTGCTCAGGAGTCACTCAAGTGCATGGTGCCAGGGCCTCAAATCTTGCCCGTTTCTCAAATCTCTCTGAGCCTCAGAATCACTCCATATCACTTTTTTTCTTTTTTTGGTACCTGGGATTGAACTCACAGCCTCGCGCTTGCCAGGCAGGTGCTATGCCACCGAGCCATATCCCCGGCCCTCTGTGTCACTTTTTAAAAGAAAATGCCTTGCTCCTGTCTCAAACCCACCGAGTCAGGATTATCTGGGAACGTGTATTTTTCAGAAGCTCCTCTGGAGGCTTTTACTCAGGCTAAGGCAGGGAGGTGCTGGACTCTACCTGGACACCAGAGCTGGGGAAACCTTCCGTGCTAGTGAAGATCCCGGTCTGGTATCATTGGGGCCCCCGCCGAACAGCCTGTGCGTTAATAGCGTTGCTTACACCACCCTCGAGTTAAGTAAAAGCCTACACACGCAACATACAGCGAATTTTGCATTTAGATTCAGGCGCCGCGCTTAGCATGCAAACACTTCAAAATTTTTAAAGCCTTGGAATCCGAGACGCCTGCGGCCCCCACGCGTTATGAAGAGGTAATCTTCGCACAGTCCCCTCGCGGGCGGGGAAGGGCCGAGGCAGGTCATTAGCATTCGCTGCGCTGGTCTGACGAATCAGCTCTTTCTATTTTACCGATTTCCAATGGTTTTACCCCATGAGGACGCCCGTCGGCAGGGCCCACTTAGGGCTGCGCGGGCTGGCTGCCGTCTCCAGGTGCGGCCGGCTGGGCGAGGCCTTCCTAGCCTGCACGTGGGCCCGCGCGCTCCCGAACACGCCAGAGTTGACAGTCATGTTTGCAGGTGGAAAATTCCAAGCTCTCGTGCCTGACGGGCGAAGCGGTGCGCACGCCGGAGCGCACAGCTCCAGGGCCAGGTGTTTTCTGCTCCAGGGCAGGGGGCGGGGCCAGGAACGGGGCGGGGCTAGGGCTGGGCGCGCTCGCGGGTCCCGCCCCGCGAGGAACGGCCTTCATGCGGCAGCCAATCAAAGCGCGGCGCGCGCGGGCCGTTGGGGCGGGGCTCGCGCCCGCCCCGCCCCCAGACTCATGTGAGCCGCGTGGAGGGGCGGCGGCGGCCGGGCGAGGCTGTGCGCGCGTTGGGGCGCCGTTGAGGCCGTTGAGGGGCGCGGAGGGGCGAAGTCCGCTCTGCGCGCGGAGGACGAGGCCGGCCGGCGGCGCTGAAGGACGAGGACGCTGGGGACCCGCCCGCCGCTCCATCCCCGACGGGGCCTGTGCGTGCCGCCCGGGCAGGAGGGAGCGGGGACCCCGGGAGGGAGGTCGGCCTCGCTCTGTCGGCGCGGGTGCCGGGTCCGCCGGGAGGGAGCGGCCCGGACCGCTGGGGAGGCCGAGGCCCAGGGCAGGGCGGGCCCCGCACCCGGGTCTCGGCTCGCTCAGGGCAGGTGGCGCGCGGTGCGGGCCCGCCCGGCGCCCCGCGCCCTCAGCTGTGGGAAGGGGGCCCCCTAGGGGCCACGTCCCGGGGACTCTGGAGACCCCCGCGTGCCAGGGAACTGTTTGGGGACTCCCGAATAAGTTTAAAGGTGACAGCGTCGCGGCGGTCCCCCAGGACGTGCACACTGAGCCCTGCTTTGGCAGCCGCCTGCTTCGTAGAGCGAGAAGATGACGGGGCGGGCCCGCGCCAGGGCTCGAGGACGGGCCCGCGGCCAGGACACGGTGCAGCGCATCGGGGCGACCCTGGTGAGCAGCGCCCCGGCCTGCCGGGCCCCTCCAGGGTGTCGGGGGGCGGGGCGGGGCGCGCGGGGGCGGAGAGGGGCGGCCTGGCCAGCCTCAGGTTTTCTTTTTAAGAATAAACTACTTGGGGCGGGGGATTTAGCTCAGCGCCTTCCTTGCAAGTGTGCGGTTGTGAGTTCGATCCCTGCGAGCGATAAAAATGAAAAAGAAAAAAAAAAAAAAAGAGAGAATAAACTACTTGGTCACTGATAGGTGGTGGGTGAACTAGTTGAGGTTTATTTTCTTTGGTTCATGTACTCTGCATAAAAGAACGGCGTTTTGTATTTGTGCGTGTGGCCAGAGTCCGCAGCCTGGGTACCCCCAGCCAAGAACACCGCAGCCCCTGGCAGAGGGGGACCTGGTCGGCCGAGGGCGGCAGAGAGGAGCAGCAGGGGCCACAGCCAAGTCACAAGGTGAAGGGCGCCAGGGGGGCCATGGAGTCTTGCAGACCCCGTAGGTGAGGCTGTGGTGCCCATGGTGTGGGATTTGTTTCTCCCGAGCCCGAGGGAGCAGTGGCAAAGTGATGGACTGGGGGTCAGCAACCAGCTGACTTAAGCATTAATACACCACTTCAGAACAGTGATGTGGCATCTCTGGGGCTTGCGTCCCACACAGGGCTCTAGCAGATGTGTTATTGGAGACCTTTCTGTCCACTGAATGACCTCGTCACTTAGGGTCTTGTTGCCACAGCTGTTGGAACTAAGCAGGAACTGACTTACCAATACCTGACACCTGTTGCCAGGTGACAGGTGTGTGATGGCCACGGGGAACACACAGGTGCTGTGTAAATGCTGCTGGTTCTTGAGAGGCTCAAATAGTTCCATGAGATTTAAGTTTTCTAATCCGGGTTTAAACTCTCAAACTGATGCATCCCTTGTAACATGATGCATTGGGGAAAATGAGTGTTCAGGTCCTCAGGGCGTAGAATACAGACGAGCCCCTTCCCAGTCTGGACGCACCCCCGGCTTTGCACCAGAGCCCTGTGCCCAGACCTTGCAGAGGGGCAGATGCCTTGCACGGGACCACTGAGTCTGCCGAGGGCTTCATGGGGACACAGAGCCCAGGACCCTGCTCCTTGGCTGCCCACAGGTGTGGGAAGGGTGGGATGGGGTTGCTGTGTGTCACCATGCGGTCTTTTGGGCTTTCTGGGGCCCTGTGGAAACTGCCTTTACAGTTTGATGTTTGGTGCTGCCCAAGTGCATGAGCTGCTTTTCTCTTTGTGTTTAAGAACTCCAGATATCTGCTGGGTTTCAGGAGTTGTCGCTGGCAGAGAGAGGAGGGCGCCGTAGGGACTTTCACGACCTTGGTGTGAACACTAGACAGAACCTAGACCATGTCAAAGAGTCCAAAACAGGTGGGTTAACTAGAAATAGCAGTTCAGGGGTCACTTTCAAGTCCTCAGAGCAGGAATCAAGGCATTTTGTCTTTCCCGCTGTCAGGGGGCTCGTTACACATAGTAGAGAGGCAGCCGGGCTGGGCTTCTGTATTCTGTGCCCCACAGCTCTGATAAGCTCGCTGATAAATGTCTTCCATGATCTGAGCATTGTTTGCTCGGGCCCTTCACAGGCCCGTTGTAGAGAGCTGGGCTGGCAGTGCACACGTTGCCAGGCACAATGAGGAGTTGACGGTTTGCCGCTGCCCCTTCCCTGGAGACACGGTGCATCGTCCCCCAGGCCAGGTGTCTGGGAGCTCGGATGAGGCTGCTGCCCCCCGCTCTGCCAGCCTGGTCCCGGGAGGGCACTGAGCGCGGCTGTCCCTGCAGGCTCGTCCGGCATCATCGTGAGGCTGAGCACCAACCACTTCCGGCTGACCTCCCGCCCGCAGTGGGCCCTGTACCAGTACCACGTGGACTACAACCCGCTGATGGAAGCCCGGCGCCTCCGCTCTGCCCTGCTCTTCCAGCATGAAGATCTCATTGGAAGGTGTCACGCTTTTGATGGAACGATATTATTTTTACCTAAACGGCTGCAGCACAAGGTTATTTCACACATCCGCATGGGAGAGGGAGACGGGGGTGTCCGGCTCAGAGCAGCACTGTAGCTGTTTTGGGGAGACCTGGGGTCTGAGGGCACTGGTAAGCAGCCGGAGGCCTCTGTGGCATCACTGTGTCATCCTTGTGTCCTAGAGACACTGAAGGGCCGCAGCTGTGCTGTGACCAGGCCTCTTGGCCTCTTTTCCCGTGGCCACTTTGAAAGGTGCCGTTTGAGCCCGGCGCGGAGCGCTGCCTTTCCGCTCGCCTTGATCTGTGATGGTGCAGTTCGCTCCTCACAGCCGAAAGCTGGCTTTCTGCCTCTCTGGCCTCAGGTCACCGAAGTGTTCAGCCAGACCCGGAACGGGGAGCGTGTGAGGATAACCATCACGTTGACCAACGAGCTCCCGCCCACATCGCCCACCTGCCTGCAGTTCTACAACATCATCTTCAGGAGGTGCATGGGGGGGGGGCGTGCCGTACGGTGCTAGAGCGCTCGCCGGCATGCAGGGGCCCTGGGTCTGCTCGCCAGCCCCCCAGGGAAGAAGAGAGGGTGCTTGAAGCACAGGGAAGTTAGCAGAGCTGAGCAGCTCTGGAACCCGTGTACCTACCCCAGGCTCGGGTTGCTGGGTTTCTCTGCTGTAACTGCCGAGAGCTGTGCTTTACTGTGTAACCTCTTGTGCGGTCTCACCGGCCTGTCTAACTTCCCTCTGTGTGTTGACCCGAGGTTTGTGCAGTGCTGTTTGAGCTCGTGCTGGGAACTTGTTTCTCCCTGTCTCTGCACCCCCCCCCAGTCAAACCCCCAGCCCGTCCTGGGAGGTCAGTGCGGACTGCGTAGTTGGTCTACAAATACCACTCTGTCCCCTCCGGGGGTGCAGCAGCAGGGGAGCCGGGTCTGCCTGGGTGTGTAACTCCCGGTGGCGGGTCACCTTCCATCTGGCAAATGCTTGCCAAGGGACTGTGTTGGTGGGGCCGTCATTCCCTAAGTGAGGGTGGGGCAGCTGGCCTTAAGGTGCCGTGCAGCTGCTCTGCCCTGCCACTGCCCAAGCTGTGCTCCACTGACCCTGCACCAGCGCTGGCCACAGAGATCCCGACTCTGTGTCCTTCACGTCTCGAAATAACCTTTAGATGCATTGAAAACCTTTGTGATCTCGCAGGCCATCTGAAAGCACCTGGCTCTGCGCTAGCACAGGGACAGCTTGCCAGCCCTGCCCTAAGTTTCACGCCCTTCTGTGGACCATGTAAGGTGGTGCAGAAGCTCACTGACAACTCTCTCAATTTCCAGGCTGCTAAAAATCATGAATTTGCAACAGATTGGACGGAATTACTACAACCCGCATGACCCAATCGACATCCCAAACCACAGGTTGGTGCGCAGTACGTCTTAGGTGTACAGGGCGCGGCGTTGGTTGGGATTGGTGCACGCTGAGACCTGTCTCCCACGGGACAGTGTGACAAGGCTGGCACAGCACAGAGCCCTGTCCAGCTCTAGGCATGCATCTCTCTCTCTCTCGGGTAAAGACCGAGCCAGCCATGCTCCCGGGGGAGCGGCCCCGAGGATGTGGGCACCTGCAGTTAGAAGGCCCCACAGAGGACACGTGTGGTCAGCCAGCACAGCCCTGAAAAGGGGTCGAGGAGGGAGCCGGCATGCCAGCATGGAGGGTCACTGCAGGCCAGCCTGGGCTACACCATGAGCTCAAGGCCAGCCTGGGCCACATAGCAAGACACTGTCTCCAAAAGAGACAGAAAAGCGGTGCTGGCAGTGAGTAACGCTGTGCTCGCCAGTGTAGTTAGCGGTGTTCGTAGCACAGTTCTGGATGGGATCGGCTTGTGTGTGTCATCGGGGATTGTGGCGACCCAGCACATCGTCAAAAGCCTCAGAGAGCCAGGTCTCCACCTGGCCCCCGAGAACGGAGGAACAGGGCAAGGGGGTGGGCCTTGTGTCTGGCACGGTGTGAGCTGCCCTTCCCTGCAGGTTGGTGATCTGGCCTGGCTTCACCACCTCCATCCTGCAGTACGAGAACAACATCATGCTGTGCACGGACGTCAGCCACAAGGTCCTGCGCAGCGAGACCGTGCTGGACTTCATGTTCAACCTGTATCACCAGACCGAGGAGCACAAGTTCCAGGAGCAAGTGTCCAAGGAGCTGATAGGCCTGATCGTCCTCACCAAGTAAGGCTGCGCTCAGATCCTGGACAGGCCTTCCGCGCGCCCACGCCTGTGCGAGGCGGCAGTGCCGAGGTGCTGGACAGTGGGGTCGATGGGCAGGGGCGTGGCTGGAGGAGGGGCCAGGGCTGTCTGGGAGGGCCGCTGGCCAGGGCGCCGGTCCTTCCCATTCCCAGCTGTCGGCCAGCCATCCAGCCGGCCTCTCCCAGGACGGGCCTCTCTGGCAGCGCTCTGTGTGCCGCTGTCCTGCTGGGACAGCCTCCCCTGGTTGGCCGCGTGCCCTCTGACCGCCCGGCCCCACAGGTACAACAATAAGACGTACCGAGTGGATGACATCGACTGGGACCAGAATCCCAAGAGCACCTTTAAGAAGGCCGACGGCTCGGAGGTCAGCTTCCTGGAGTACTACCGCAAGGTGGGCAGCCTGCAGCCCATGTCCGCCCACCCGCCGTGGGAACCGCCCGGCCTGGCGCCGTCCCTCCGCAGCGGGAGAGGTCAGCCGTGCGGAGGGCAGGCCAGCTCGAACAGCTCATGCCGACAGCTTCCTCGGGTCCCGCTCTGCAGCCGGCATTGCAGGCAGTGGGCAGGCAGGCTGGCTCCAACCTGGACCCACCGCATGGACACGCTCTGCGGGCCACCCCCTCCTGGCACGGGCATGGCTGCGGGCCCCGGGGGCCGTGTGCACACTGCGCTCGTGGCCCGGACTCGCACTGCTGGGCACGCAGGGCAGTGGACACCCTTCTTGGGGAGGCGGGCAGGGTGCACGGCAGCCTCTTGGCCCTGTGGTGACCCCAGTTTGAGCAGCATGTGCTGCTCTGGGGTAAGGGGAGCCCCAGTGTGCAGGCAGCCGCCACCACGAAGAAGGTGACAGGGAAGCCCGCGAAGCCTTTGCCTAGGGCCTGGCTGGGGAGGGGCGTGCTCCGAGGTCCTGCCCTGTACCAGACCTGGCCCAGGCCGGGGGAGGTGGGGGTCACCTCCGTGTGTGCCCGCCCGTGCCCTTCCTAGGAGCTCTCCCTCTTGGGGTAAGGAAACCCCCTCTTCTGGACGGTGGCTCCCAGGTGCCTTCGGGGGTCCTGGCGGGGGCGGGTGTCGTCCGGGATACAGCAGGGCCAGGCGGGCGGCTCTGGGCCTCGGTGAGGGATGGAGGACGGAGGGGGCCCGGAGGGAGGGTGATGGGCACCTCGCGGGCAGCAGGGGCAGAGCCAACCCAGCGCGGCAGCAGGGCTGCCTGGGTGTACAGAAGGCTCCCGGCCCTGGGTGAACGGCGCCCCTTCCCCCGAGCAGCAGTACAACCAGGAGATCACAGACCTAAAGCAGCCGGTCCTGGTGAGCCAGCCTAAGAGGAGGCGCGGCCCCGGGGGCACCATGCCTGGGCCCGCCATGCTCATCCCCGAGCTCTGCTACCTCACCGGTGCGGGGGCAGCCTGCGGGACAGCCGGGGAGGGGGTGGCGCTCGGCCCGTTCCCCCTCCCCGGCCCCCTCCCTCTCCCTCTCCCTCCCTGCCCTCCCCCCTGCCCCCCTCTTCCCTCCCCCCGCCTGTCCCCTCCCCCATCTCCCCCCGCCCCCTCTCCCTCCCCCATCTCCCCCCCCCCCGACTCCCCGAGGCCCCTGATAGAGACTGTTGTGTCACAGGCCTGACTGACAAGATGCGGAATGACTTCAATGTGATGAAGGAGCTGGCGGTGCACACGCGGCTCACCCCTGAGCAGCGGCAGCGAGAAGTGGGCCGCCTCATCGACTACATCCACAAGTAGGCCGGCGGGGCCTCTGCCGCGCCCCTCCCCAAGCCCTGTGCTTCCGGGACCTGTCCCCTGGGGGGGGTGACGCAGGGGGACGTGCCGTGCCACCCGCCCGTGCCCAGCAGCAGTGCTATGTCCCTTCCACAGAGACGACAACGTGCAGAGAGAGCTGCGGGACTGGGGCTTGAGCTTCGACTCCAACCTGCTGTCCTTCTCGGGGAGAATCCTGCAGGCAGAAAAGATTCACCAGGGCGGAAAAACCGTGAGGCCGCTTTCCGAGTGTCCACACTGGGCGTGCGGGCCGGGTCACGGGGAGCGGGCAGGCAGCGCTGTCCGGGCCGGACGCGTCCTCCCCATCCCGTCCCCAGGTGGCACGGGGCCCTCAGGAGCCTCGCAGGGCCCAGGGGCCGGGAGCCAGGGCAACCCGCAGGGGCCTCTGCGTGGAGCAGCCCGAGGGGCCTCGGGCAGTAAGGGGACTTCCAGGGGGCAGGGCCCAAGCCGCCCGTGCCTGTGTCCAGACAGGTGCCAGGTACCCCGGGGTTCCGTTTGTAAAAGGAAAGAGGGTATGCTCAGGCCAGTCGTGTGGAATTAAAGCACTGCGCGTGTGAGAAGCTGAAGCCTTGTCATGGCAGACCGGGTGGTCCCCGCCTCTGCTCGTGCTCGCTGGGTGCTGTGAGAGCCGTGCCCTGCAGGCCCTGCGCCCGGAGGGGCAGGAGGTGGCCCCCGGGCGCTGGGCTGGCTCTCAGCCTCGGCCCGGCCACAAGGCTGCTGAGGCGCCCACCTCTGCCTCCGCCATGCGGGGAGCAGCCCCTGCCCTGCCCGTCCGTCCTTAGGGTGCCCTGGTCTGTCTGGGGGAGCGGGGCGGGTCTGGCCATGTGGCCGAGGTGGCCTGGGGTTCACGGCGGGCCTCCTGCCTCGGCCTGCCCAGCGCTGAGATGGCAGGTGGGCAGCAGCACGCCCTCCTCTGGCCACTCTCCCGAACACCGGGGCTGGCTGCCCTGGACCTCCGGCGTGTGTGCACTCTCTTGCAGTTCGACTACAACCCGCAGTTCGCAGACTGGTCGAAGGAGACGCGGGGCGCCCCGCTGATCAGCGTGAAGCCGCTGGATAACTGGCTGCTGATCTACACGCGTAAGAACTACGAGGCGGCCAACTCGCTGATCCAGAATCTGTTCAAGGTGACGCCGGCCATGGGCATCCAGATGAAGAAGGCCATCATGTAGGTGCAGCTGTTGTTCCCGGTCACGGTGGGGGGGGGGCACTGCTGGGAGCGTGTGTGTGACCTGAGCTGGCGCCCCAGTACAGAAGGTGGCGTGGAGCAGGGCAGCGCGCTGGCCTCTGCCCAGGGATCTCACAGACGCCTCCCGATGTCCCAGGAGTGTGCCTGGGGGCACAGCTCGGGTCCCCTTCTGAGCGCTGTCTCCTGTCCTTGCCCCAGGATTGAGGTGGACGACAGGACAGAAGCCTACCTCCGCGTCCTGCAGCAGAAGGTCACCTCGGACACCCAGATTGTGAGTGTGGCAGTGGCCAGGCAGGAAGGGGCCGCCCGGGAGCCTCAGAGATGTCCAGGCGTGGTTCGGTTGACTGCTGGAGGTGGCCACTCAAGGGTCCCCCGCCCCGACGAGGAAGGTCAAGGACCCGAAGCCATTGCCTGTCCTAATCGGGGCACACAGGCGTGGGGAGAGCGGATGGGGGGACAGCAGGCCAGGCCGAGGGTGAGTGGGGAGGTCAGGGGCCAGCAGCACGTGTGGTGGCCTTGCTTGGACCTGGCCCTGGAGCGGTGCCCTGAGGAGCAGTTCCGGCTTCCTGGTCGCACTGTGTGGCCCGGGGGCTGTGGTCAGGAGGCGCGTGGACGCTGGAGCCGAATGGCCGGCCACACAGCCTGACTCAGCCACCAGCAGGACCCCGGCCAGTGTCAGCACACGGGCACCAGCCAGCCTAGGCGCTTCCCAGGCCCCCTGCTCTGGGCTCGGTCCCTGCGCAGTCCCTGAGCTGCCCTCTGAGGTGGCCCCTGCTCCGCATGTGGTCCCTAAGAGGGCATTGGTGCCACGTCCTCGGGCTGCCGTGCCAGCTCCACGCTGCCCGGCGGGCCCCGTGCCCCAGGCCCCAGGGTGGGTGCGCCCCGCTCACCCTAACCCTGGGTTCCGAGCCACGGAGATCTCAGCAGGTGTCCTGCTCTTGGTACAGACTGCCTCACACCTCGAGGACAGCCTTCGTGAAGGCGGGGGACAGTGCCCCGGCTCAGGGCTCTGCCTGCCTGGTGCCGGGAGCCCCTCCACGGGGGCGGTGGCCAGTGGAGGGCTGTCCTATCCTGCTCTCCCGCCGGGGTGCAGAGGGGGCATCCTGCCCTGCGTGTGTCCCCTGCGGAGCTGGTGTCCTGGGGGGTTGGCTGTGGTAGAAGCCGCGGTCCTGGGCCCTGTAGTGTGACTGGGCCACTGCAGAAAGGGCCTTACCCACCTCTGTGAAAGGGACAGGTGCTAACTGAGAGCCGCTGTCCTGTGTCCGGGAAAGGTCTCCTTCCCGAGAGAGAGAGAGAGAGGGGGGGGGGGAGGAGCTGGGCAGGCCCCTGGGCCGGGAGCCCCCGCTGCCCGCGGGAGCCACGGGATGCAGTGACGCTGGTCAGCGGCCCCCAGCTGCTCCCCTCCCCTTGCCTTGGTGGCTCTGTCCTCCCACCAGCGGCTGTGAGCTTTAGACTCCTCACGTCCTCGGGTCATGATGAGCCTTTGAAGGGGAAGGGTGGCCGTCCCCGTCCCCATCCCGCGGGCGGGCCCATGCTGAGTGCCTGCAGGCTGGCCGCCGTGCTGGCCCAGGTCCCTGCTTGAGTGGCGCTGGCCCTCAGGTGCCCTGTGGCTGGGTCTGCCTTTCCCCGTGCAAGCGCAGTCACGTGGGGAAACGGGCCCCGCGGTGTCTCGGCATCTCGGCGCTGTCCCACACCCGCGGGTGACCGTCCTCCCTCCCCGCCCAGGCCTGCGGGGGCCGGACGCTAGCAGGGGTGGCAGTCGCAGCTCCCGGGCGGCGCCCGCGCTGTCTCCCTCTGCCCCGCCCCTTCTGTGTGCTGGGCCCTGGCTCTGCCCTTGCTCTCTCCCGCCCCTCACTGCCCCTTTTCCAGCCAACCCCGCCACTGCTGCTTTGCTCACAGAGAAGGCAGGCGGCGTTGTCTGTCTCCAGGTCGTCTGCCTGCTGTCCAGTAACCGGAAGGACAAGTACGATGCCATCAAGAAGTACCTGTGCACGGACTGCCCCACGCCGAGCCAGTGCGTGGTGGCCCGCACGCTGGGCAAGCAGCAGACCATCATGGCCATCGCCACCAAGATCGCCCTGCAGATGAACTGCAAGATGGGCGGCGAGCTCTGGAGGGTGGACATGCCTGTGAGTGCGGCGGGCAGGGGCGGTGAGCATGAGGGGCTGCTTGCGGGGGCTGCCTTCCGGGGGCCGCCGGCCGGCGCGCTGCCTGTGACACCGCACCACGCTCACCGCAGCTGAAGCTGGCCATGATCGTGGGCATCGACTGCTACCACGACACCACCGCCGGCCGGAGATCCATCGCGGGCTTCGTGGCCAGCATCAATGAGGGGATGACCCGGTGAGTGGGGCGGAGGCGGCGGGCGGTGGTGCAGGCCGGGACTCGGACCCGGGCAGCATCGGGGCTGTCACCTCATCGCACGCTGTCTGCGCCCTGGGAGGTGACCGCACACTCAGTGTGGAGAGCGCCTTGGCCACCCCGGTAAATGGCCTCTCATGCTTTCCTGGGGTTGAGGGACATGAGGACAGCAGAGGACACCCATGGTGGGCAGCTCGGCCGCCGGGGCTCCTGGGGCCCCGGGCCTCTGAGGCAGGTGGGGGGCATCTGCAGCGCGGGCACAGGTGTGCCTGGGCATGCGGGCGGCTTTGCCGTCTGTCCCCTCCCTCCAGCTCTGGGGCGTGGGGTGGGCAGCCATGCTCGGGTGCTGGGTGCTGGGGGCACCAGCGTGGGGGGCGGGCTCGGAGGGCACCGGCGGCGCAGCCCTCCCTCACCCAGAGCCTCCTGCCCGCAGCTGGTTCTCGCGCTGCGTCTTCCAAGACCGAGGCCAGGAGCTGGTGGACGGGCTCAAGGTGTGCCTGCAAGGTGGGTCTGCGGGCCGCCGGCTGGCCATGTGACGCGACGCCCCCTCTGCCCGCCCGGGCACCCTGTAAACTGGCCGCTCGCTCCCTCCAGCGGCGCTGCGGGCCTGGAACAGCTGCAACGAGTACATGCCGAGCCGCATCATCGTGTACCGCGACGGCGTGGGCGATGGCCAGCTCAAGACGCTGGTGAACTACGAGGTGCCCCAGTTCCTGGACTGCCTCAAGTCCCTGGGCAGAGGCTACCAGTGAGTGCCAGGGGAGGGCGTGGGGCCCGGCGCCGCCTCTCAGCCTGTGTGCCAGCCGGGTGTGTGTGCATAGGTGTGAGGGGCACTGAGGCACCGCGTGGTGCCTGCTGGGCGTGGGAAGGACACAGCTGTCCTCGGGGTCCTGTGAGGCGCCCAGAGAATACCCGCTCAGGAGCACGCAGCTGTGGGTGGCCGCCTGCACACTGTGTCGTCCTAGCTTCTGGCGTGCAGGACACAGTGTGCCCAGCTGCTGGGAGCTCCCCTCAGTCCGAGGGAGGGTGGCCGAGTCACTCCGCCCCTCTCCTGTCTTCTGGGCCACTCGTGCTGAGTTGTTCCTCCGTGTCACGGCAGCGCCGTGCTCGCCTTGCACTCGAGCTCCTGAGCCAGGAGCGTATTTTGGACGCGCTGCCATCCATGCCTGCAGACCCTGCTCTGAGCCCAGGCATGGCGTGGCAGGGCCTTTGAGACGGGAGCCCAGCGTGTGCTGGGCCTGGCCCTGTGCCCTGCCTCAGCCGTGTCCTGTCGTCCCTCTTGTGCACTTCAGGACTCAGTGTCCTCTGAGGGCGCCCGGGCCCCATCTGATCAGGGAGCCGCTCCAGGCTTCACCCTGCGGCTCTGCCCGGCTGGGCTTGAGCACAGGTGTGCTGTGCCTGGTTCCCAGAGGGGCTTCTTGGGCTGGCAGACATGGTGCAGGCCAAGGGAGCTGGCCAAGGACAGCACCAACCCCTGACTGCACGCGTGGGACGGCCTGTGCCGCAGAGCCTGCCCTCTGCATGTGTGTCACTGTCACCTGCCTGCTCTTGGTTGCTGGGACGGGATTTGAAAAGTAGGGAGTGAGCTTTGAGGCAGCCTGTGTGAGCTCACAGTTAGGGCCAGGGCCAGGGTCCGTGACCCACCGCTCACACGCGCTCTGCACCCTGCCATGGACACCTGAGGACTGGGTGGGCAGGACCCGTCTGGCTCGTGTCGTGGGTGCGGCACATGGCCAGGTCTTTGTCCTTCTGGAGGCAGAGTCCTGCGCTGCCTCCTGCCAGGGCGGGGACCAACACGCAGGGGCTGGGGAGGGCCAGAGCAGTGGCCAAGGCCAAGGAGGACAGGATCCAGTGACTCCCACTCTCCCTCAAGCCCGAGACTGACGGTGATCGTGGTGAAGAAGCGTGTGAACGCCAGGTTTTTTGCACAGTCGGGAGGAAAACTTCAGAACCCGCTGCCTGGGACTGTCATCGACGTGGAGGTCACCAGGCCCGAATGGTGAGTCCTGGCGGCGGGGACAGTGTGGCTTCCTCCTTGTGTGGTCTTCGGGGCATTGCTTGAACAGGCCCACCGCACCGCGCCCACGTCCGGGACCCTGGCATGGGAGGCGCCCAGAAGTCGGGCACTGCTGTCGCCTGTGACCTCGCCCGCAGATGGCATCGTAATGCATCTTCACGTGGGTCACCACGTGGCGTCTGGAGCTCAGACTCCCCAAGACAACGGCCAGCGAGGGCAGTGCTATGCCCCAACGCGGCCATGTGCACAGCCTGAGGCCGCCCTGCTGTGAGCCGGGGACCCAAAGACTCCACGCTCAGTGAGTCCTGAGGAGCGCTGCCCCGGCTGCAGGCAGGCGACGGAGTGCTTCTGGGGTCCCAGGATGGACACCTCTGTGAGGACCAGGCACCACCCAGCCCCTGGGGAGCACGCGTGGGCACCACTGTCGCACGTGGGTGGCAGGTCCCAATGCCCCTAGAGAGTCCATGCGGAGATAGCACAAACCTGCGGTTGCAGCATTTGGAATAGGGGACGTGTGACGTGCGTGGCTCACAGGGACAGGCGACACTGGATGGCCACCCCTCGGCCAGCTCTGTGGCTCCCAGTGGCAGAACTCTAGGGGAACCCGCGCTGGGCAGGGTGTCCAGCCTGCCAGGTCCCCGCGGCAGGCCTGCTGCTCTGCTCTGGCCGTGGTGCCCCTGCAGGGTGTCCTGGAGCCGCTGTGGGGGGCAGGCAGCTCCCTGTGCCTGTGAGCAGGTCCTCCTCTCGAGCCCTCGTCCTCCACACGGACGGTGCCCTGCACCGGTGGACTGGGCTCTGGGAGGGCGCAGGGAGCGGCAGGGCCACTCCAGGGTGGTCACTCGCCCTTGGCCGGGCGGGGGCCTCACGCTGCCCGTCACCGCAGGTACGACTTCTTCATCGTGAGCCAGGCAGTGCGGAGCGGCAGCGTGTCCCCCACACACTACAACGTCATCTACGACAGCAGCGGCCTGAAGCCGGACCACATCCAGCGGCTGACCTACAAGCTCTGCCACATCTACTACAACTGGCCGGTGAGCGTCCTCGGCCCAGGCGCTGCGGGGCCCGGGCCTGAGCGCCGGCAGGGACCGAGTGACGGACGGGCTCCCTGTCCCCTCTCCCCTCTCCCCACAGGGCATCATCCGCGTGCCCGCACCGTGCCAGTACGCGCACAAGCTGGCCTTCCTGGTGGGCCAGAGCATCCACCGGGAGCCCAACCTGTCCCTGTCCAACCGCCTCTACTACCTCTGACCGCGCCCGCCACCCGAGCCCAGCCGCCAGCCGAGGTCCTAGGGCTCCGCTGCCACCTCGCTGCCGGCTCGGGTGAACCCCGGGCACAGCCTGGCAGATGTAGAGTTTGTTCCTTTGTTACTATTTAATTTGGCTTCTTCTTTGTAGGTAAAGTTAGGACTTAGATTGTATCTTGCTGGTTTGCCTAAGTGCTGCGGCCTGTTTGTTTGGAAACTGGCTGATGCACTCTGTATTGTTAACAGACTTCCGTAAGCTGGCCAGAGCTAGGCGCGGTGGCGCACGCCTGTAATCCCAGCGCCGAGGGAAGCTGAGGCAGGAGGATCGCAAGTTCAAGTCCTGCCTGGGCAACCTAGCGAGACCCTGTCTCAGAACGCATTTTAAAGGGCTAGAGATGTAGCTCAGTGGTAGAGCACCCCTAGGTTTTATCCCCAGTTTGAAGAAGAAAAGTTAAGTGTTCGTACATTTACTTGAAAGCACTTACAGGACTGAGCGGGTCCCGTTTGGAAACCGTATTAACTTTAACCTTGACCAGTTTATTTCGCATTAGAAGGGGGAGCTGGGGATACAGCTCCCAGGCCTCCGCACCCTGCACCCCGCACCCCGCACCCGGGGGACGCCCCGCCCCACGCAGACCCCGCCTAGGCTGGGAGCCGCGGCTTCTGCTGCTGCCCCAGACTCGGGCCGGACCAGCCACCGTCCGTGCGGCCTGTGGCTGCCCCGGGAGCTGTGCGTGGCCCCGCAGCCGCCTGGCCGAGGCAGCAGAGCGCCCACCCTGGGAGATGCGACCTCAGGGAAATGTGCCGCCTCGGTGGCGGCCGTTTGTGTGCAGGACGCTTCTGTATTTCTGAGATTAATCTTTGGTCAGTTGTGTATTTTGCAGATGCCCGCTTCCAGTTTGGCTTCTTGGGTTCTTTTTTAAGCGATCACTTAATAAATAGAAGGCCCCTTTTATGTCTGAGTTGGCCTCTCGTGTTTGTCCCCGTGTTTGTGTGTAAGAGCGGGGTCCCCTCGCCCGGGAGCATCATCCGAGCTGTGAACCCCTGCTCCGCCAGCTGGCTCCCGGGTGTGGTGTGCGGTGGGGACACGGCCTGCCTCGGTGCCCGGCATGACATGTGTGCTGTCCTCCAGGGCACCATCTCGGCCGGGCCTCTGCCGCCTCCCCCCAGCCCAGGGCCCCGCCACTCCCCCGGTCTGCCCCCCCCCCCCGCACCCCTGCCTTCCCCACTGCGCTGTCCCCCTGAGGCCTGGTGAGATAGGTTTCACCCCTTGGCAATTTCAGATCCTATTTGTGACATTTGTGAAAAACTTGAGACTTAATGGACACCCTCTGAAGGTCCAGTGTCCAGGGAGACCAGGCGCCTCAGGGCTGCCAGCGCCCCCGAGGCTGTGCCATGTCCCGCGGTGGGAGGAGGTGGCCCTCGGTCACTGCCCAAGGCTGGGCTTCACGGAGCAGGTATGGCTCTGCTGCCTGCAGGTGTGCGTGGTGGTCCCCGGCTCCTCCCAGGACAGGCGGGGACCCATCTTCCTGGGGCCTCAGGAGGCCAGGCTGCCCTCTGTGCCTCCAGCCGCTCCGGGCTGGGCTGCCACTGTGAGCCTGTGCCACGGGAGAGGAAGCCTCGGGGCTCTGGGTTACACACTCACCCTCTCCTGGCCGGCCCTGCCCCCCAGGGAGGGGACCGAGCATCCCTCTTGTGTGTGTGTCACCAAAGTTCTCATAGCCGAGATGGTGTTGTGACAGAGTGCAGAGCGTTTCAGTGTGTGCCGGTGTCTCTTTGGGTCCTAGCAGGGAGTTCAGATAAAAGACACAAATACTTGTGAGGCTCTAGGACGTGACGAGGCCACGTGTGCCAGCTGTCACACACAGCGCTCTTGGAGCTCACCCGCTGCCCAGACCAGCATCTCCATGCTGCCAGCCAGAGCCCCACGCTGGGCTCACACTTGTGGGCATCCTGGGCGTGAGTCCTGCGGGCATGGGTGGGGAAGCTGTCTCCACAATTCCAGGTGGGCCACCAGAGCTCAGCCTGGTGGGGCGCCTAGTGACCACCTGGTGACCCGGATGCCCCAAGAGCCACCCGTCCCGCCTGCTTCCCCAGGGCAAGACTCGGGGGGCTGGAGAGAAGGTGTGCGGAAGGGAATGTGGGGGGACACTGCTGGGGCAGGGCCTGCGTGGCTCCCTGGGTCGGGCACCCTGCCGGGGGGCGCCAACCCAAACTTGAGTTCCTTTATGGAAAAGGGGCCAGCAGTGAGCCAGCTCCTGTCCCCTCGGGTCGCCTGCGTTTCCACGCTCAGAGGAGCCTGCTCCCGGCTGCAGAAAGCGGCGGTGACCGGTCAGGGGAAACCGCCCCGTGCAAGGACGCGCTGGGCGCTGTCACTCTGCTTCCATGAAGGGCTGTGTGTGTTGGCTTTCTCGTGCTCTGGACAGTGGTGCTTTACCTCGTCCCTGAATCACTTCTATCGCTGGGACAGCCCTGAAATAATGAGGGCCCTTGGGAAGCTGTTCTGGGGACGTCTGTGAGGCTTGGCATCACAGGTGCCAGAGGGTAAGGTCAGCGGGTCTACGCTCAGCCGCCGAGTCCCCTGGCGCACAGGGCCTTTCCTGTCCACAGTGACTGGACCGGCCCTCACTGCTGCAGCCACTGGCCACCGGCCACAGGATGCCCGAAAGCCTAGGGCAGAGCTGACCCTGAGAGACTCCAGGAAAGACAGTGCCAGCTTCCTAGTAACATGCAGGAGAAAGGCGTCCGGCCGTCCTGCCAGGGCAAAGAGCATTCAGGGCACAGCACTCTGCACAGGGCATCATATAAAATAACAAGTTTATTTATAGAAAATACTTTACACTGACTGTACACATGCACACACCCACACAGTACCGAGCCACACGGGGGCCCTTTTAATCAGCCTAGCACAACATTACAGTTTACAGGAGAGTTCTCGAAGACACAATGGGGAAAGCTTTGTCATCGATTTATAAACCTCCAGAAATTACAAAGAAAGGCAGTCTGAAAAGTATATAGAAAGAGTAAAAACAATTACAAGTGGACAAGAATTACAAAATAGTAGCCATCAAATACATCCGTCAGCAGCTCTGTGGTCCGTGGGGTAGGGGGCGGGGTGGGGGCGTGTTCCGTGTGGCCCTGTGTGTTCTGGGGGCTGGGGCTGGGGGCTCCTGCCAGGCAGAGCAAGAGAGCAGAGGCCCGAGGGCCTCGCACTGCAACACGGAGATGGGGAGCAGCTCGGCCGGCTGGGCACTGGCACTCCCCAGCGGCACCTGCTCTCCCCTCGGCTCTTGTGAGGAATCGGCTAGGTGAGGTGTGTGTGCATGCATGTGCATGTGAATATGCGACTGTGCGACTATAAGCGTGTGTGTGGCCACGTGTGTGTGCACGTGTGACTGCATGTGTGTGACTGCATGTGTGTGGCCACGTGTGTGTGCACGTGTAACTGCATGTGTGTGCGTGTGTATGCATATGCATTGTGTGACTGCATGTGTTAACCACATGTGTGCACGTGCATGTGTGACTGCATGTGTGTGACTGTGCATGTATGTAACTGTGAGTATGCATGTGTTGTGTGTGCACATGTGCATTGTGTACGGCCGCATGTGTGTGTGCATTGTGACTGCATGTGTGTTGAGCACATTGCACATGTGTGTGACCGCATGTGTGTGCATGTGCATTGTGTGACTGTGCATGTGTGTGACTGTGCATGTATGTGACTGCATGTGTTGTGTGTGCACATGTGCATTGTGTATGGCTGCATGTGTGTGTGCATTGTGACTGCATGTGTGTTGAGCACATTGCACATGTGTGTGACCGCATGTGTGTGCATGTGCATTGTGTGACTGTGCATGTGTTGACATGTGTGTATGTGTGCGTGTGACTGCATGTGTGTGACTGTGCATGTATGTGACTGCATGTGTTGTGTGTGCACATGTGCATTGTGTATGGCCGCATGTGTGTGTGCATTGTGACTGCATGTGTGTTGAGCACATTGCACATGTGTGTGACCGCATGTGTGTGCATGTGCATTGTGACTGTGCATGTATTGACATGTGTGTATGTGTGCGTGTGACTGCATGTGTGTGACTGTGCATGTATGTGACTGCATGTGTTGTGTGTGCACATGTGCATTGTGTATGGCTGCATGTGTGTGTGCATTGTGACTGCATGTGTGTTGAGCACATTGCGCATGTGTGTGACCGCATGTGTGTGCATGTGCATTGTGACTGTGCATGTGTGTGACTGTGCATGTGTTGACGTGTGTATGTGCGCGTGTGACTGTGCATGTGTGTGACTATGTGCATGTATGTGACTGTGCATGTGTTGTGTGTGCACATGTGTGCATGTGTGATGTGTGTGCACATGTGCATTGTGTACGGCCGCATGTGTGTGTGCATTGTGACTGCATGTGTGTTGAGCACATTGCACATGTGTGTGACCGCATGTGTGTGCATGTGCATTGTGTGACTGTGCATGTGTGTGACTATGTGCATGTATGTGACTGTGCATGTGTTGTGTGTGCACATGTGCATTGTGTACGGCCGCATGTGTGTGTGCATTGTGACTGCATGTGTGTTGAGCACATTGCACATGTGTGTGACCGCATGTGTGTGCATGTGCATTGTGTGACTGTGCATGTGTGTGACTATGTGCATGTATGTGACTGTGCATGTGTTGTGTGTGCACATGTGCATTGTGTACGGCCGCATGTGTGTGTGCATTGTGACTGCATGTGTGTTGAGCACATTGCACATGTGTGTGACCGCATGTGTGTGCATGTGCATTGTGTGACTGTGCATGTGTGTGACTATGTGCATGTATGTGACTGTGCATGTGTTGTGTGTGCACATGTGCATTGTGTACGGCCGCATGTGTGTGTGCATTGTGACTGCATGTGTGTTGAGCACATTGCACATGTGTGTGACCGCATGTGTGTGCATGTGCATTGTGACTGTGCATGTATTGACATGTGTGTATGTGTGCGTGTGACTGCATGTGTTGTGTGTGCACATGTGCATTGTGTATGGCTGCATGTGTGTGTGCATTGTGACTGCATGTGTGTTGAGCACATTGCGCATGTGTGTGACCGCATGTGTGTGCATGTGCATTGTGTGACTGTGCATGTGTTGACGTGTGTATGTGCGCGTGTGACTGTGCATGTGTGTGACTATGTGCATGTATGTGACTGTGCATGTGTTGTGTGTGCACATGTGTGCATGTGTGATGTGTGTGCACATGTGCATTGTGTATGGCCGCATGTGTGTGTGCATTGTGACTGCATGTGTGTTGAGCACATTGCACATGTGTGTGCACATGCATATGAGTGTGTGTGACTGCATGTGTGTGTGTGCACATGCCCGCGCGCGCAGCCTGGCTGGTCGGAGGGCCTGGCGGGGTCACAGCGCTGCGCGGAGGCTGGGAGCAGGAACGCACGACACGGGAGTAGACACTGCGCTTTATTGACAGACAGCTCGCGGCATCTAAGGCAGAACAGCGAGGCGACCGGAAGGAGCGGAGACAAGAATGGGGTGAGGGCTACACAGGGAGGGAGGCAGGCATTGTGGTGGGGCGGGGCGTGGCGGGGCAGAGGCCCAGGGCTCTCCGCTGGCGGCTTAGCGCAGGCGGGCGGGCGTGGGCGCGAGTGTACTGCGTCACTGTGTCGGGAGGAGGAGGGGTTGGGAAGTGCGTGGGGCGCGAGCGCCCGCCCGGGTTAGAGGAGCACAGTGTGGCCGCCGTCGGAGCGCGCTCACTGCACCGCGCCCAGCCTCCTCAGCAGGTTCTTGCCTTTGGAAAGCAGCCCCTTTTTCTTTTTCGAGGACATTTCCCTGCCTCTCCCGGGACTACCAGAACCCAGGGATGACGTAGGTGACCCCGAGTGGAGGTGGGCTGTGGGGGATGGAGCTCTCCTTGCTGGCCCTGAACCCTCAGGAGGAACCTAGTAGGTACATTGTGACAGTTCACCGAGTGCCTGAGCGCCCCACCCCGACCCCTCGGCCACGCCGCTGCCCAGCGCCCGCGCGGGGAGGGAGGGTGGCTCGGTTCTTTCAAGGGCCAGCGCGCGCCTCACCCCCAGCGCCCCCAGTGCCCCCAAGGCCTGGGCTTGGGAGAAAGGTGGCCGTGGCTTTGGCAAACAAAGCTAGTCACAGTTTCCTCTGGGGGCAGGGCCCGAGAGAGAGTGGGGAGGAATCTGAATCAGAGCCATGCTCAGGCCGGCAAGGACCCAGCCGTCGTCTTAGGAGGGAATTTGGATGCGTTTGGAAACCACTTTGGTTGTACAAAACCCTGATACTGTGGCGTGCCCCCTGGAAACTTAGAGACTAGAGAAACGCTGGAGATGGCACACCGGTTGACAGAAAAAAGCTAAAAGGAACCTTAATTGCAATCAAAGGAAGCTCAAAGGCCCTCATTGTACCTTTTCCTCTCTCCGCTGATTGAGCGGACTCCGTCCCCTCCCCCTGCAGGGACCCCTGGAGGTGGCCTGAGGTCCCAGCCACCATGGCCTCCTGCAGCGCCCCACTCTCCCAGCAACCCCGGGACGCAGCGTCCACTGTTGGGCAGGCAGGTACAAGCCGAGGGCCTCAAGCTTGCTTGGATTTGGAATCAAGGTCTAGTTCTCATGGAAAACACCTGCTAGTGCACCCCAAAGCACACCTGAAGATACCGTCCGCTACCTGGTGCAAGCGCGGAGCTGCTCGTGCCAGAGACCTCTATTGCATTGGTGCCCCACGCGCGGCCGCCGTACGGTCCCTGGCATCAGGGCCAGCCCGGACCACGCTGCCACCCCTCGTCTGCATCGTCTTAAATGAGAGGGGCTCGGTTCGGTTGCAAAGGGAAACTCTGTCTAGCAAACACGCGCTAGGCTGTGCTTTGCCAGGAGTGGCGAGCAATGCAATGGGCCGCTCGAGCCCAGTCAGCAGGGAGCGCGCTCTGTGCGAACAGACGGCTCGCTCGCAGGCCAGAAATATGTTCCCAGGGTCGCCTTGCAGGTACCGAGCGGCCACCACGGGGCGGCTAAGAGCGCGTCTCCCTGCACCGCCAGCTGCTTTACAGCTGAGCCCAGCGATGGCCTGACCCCTCGGCTCCAAGGCGGAGACATATTTCTCGGTCCTCCCTCGGGAGCCCACAGGGAGGCCTTAAGTCTCCCGCACGGCTCCAGCTGCGAGCGGGTAGCTGAAGTCGGTATCTCTCTAGGTGTGTGCGGCTGCTCACTTACGTGAAGGCTACATGCCTGCTTAGGGTGTGAAATGGACGCTCTTCCTCTGTGTCCAAGCAGGTGACGGAAATAAAAATACAGACGTAAGCCACGACAGATCGGGGCTGGCGGGCATGGCGTCAAGCAGAGGTGCCCTGTCTGCGCTGAGCCCTGGGCGCCTGCGGACGGCGGGGCGGGGACCGTGCCGGCCTCCCTCGCCACCTAGGTGTGTGTCTGTGGTGTGGGGCGGGGCGGCCTGGCTGGCAGGAGCTGGGGGCCCTGAGCGTGTGGGACGTGCCACCTAGGCCGGGACTCTGGCGGCCGGGAACCCGGAGGGCGCACTGGGCAGCTGGGCGCCGTGGGGCCCGGACACGAGGGCTCGGCCGCAGAGCGCCAGGAAACCGCGCGAGGACGCGGCCGGCCGGGGAGGTGTGCTTACCCGTTTGGCCTTGGCGTGCAGCGCGGTGTCTTGGGAGCAGAGGGACGGGGCGTCGGAGAGGTAGACCTCCACGTCGTCAGGCACTTCTTCCAGGAAGTTGGAAGGCACCAGGCCTCGCTGCCCGTTCAGCTCCCCCTGGAAACGCGGGCGGAGGGAGTGTTGGGCTTGGCGGGTGCCATGGGCTCCGGGGATCCCAAATGCAACCTCGTAGCTGGCCTGCCCACCCGGCACCTGCGAGGCTGAGGCAGGTGTGGCACGGGTTTGAGCCCAGCCTGAGCAGCTGAACGACGTGAGAGAACCTGTCTCGAGGTTAAAACAAATCTAGAGATCTGGGAATGCAGCTTGGTGCCAAGGCCTGGGCTCGGTCCCCAGTACAGAGAGAAAACAAGGACAGAAACCACCTGAGCTGACAGCTGAAGGGGCAGGACCTGGCGAGGAGGAGCAGCCCTCTCCTCAGCTGAGGTGGCCCTGGGTGGCGAGCACAGAGCGGCTCAGCGGGAAGCCCCCTTCCATGCATCCCAAGCCTGCTGGGCCAAGTCACCTGGCCAGGACAGGGGCCCAGCGGTGCCCACGGCCCAGCTTCCCTCCCCTGTGCACTGGGCATGTGCCACACCAGCAGTCTGCAGCCTGCCCGCCCCCGGTGCCCAGGCAGCCCCTTGATGCCTGAGGGCTGCGGTGGCTGCGGGCTCAGGGGTCCTGGGCTGCCGGACAGCGAAGGGAGGAAGCAATCCCAGCTGCCCAGGAGGACAGGAATGCGATGGGACGGAGTCGGCCTGCTCTATTGGAGTTAAAGGATGGCATGCAGTGCCAGCTGGAGAGAAGAGGGGACACCACGCTCAGGCACTGAGGGTCTACGAAGGGGACAGAGCCAGCGAATGCAAAGGCTCCTGCACCCCAGCAGCGCAAAGACCAAACGTAACGCATTTCTCCAAGCCAGGGTGAGCTGGCCAAGCACACGACGGGCACAGAGCACTGCCCATCACTGGGGAGGGGACAAAGCTGTGAGGTCCCCTCCCCTGTCCCTGGGTCCCTCGGGCTAGCCCCGTGGACAGCAGCACCGGTGTCACCAGCTCACGAGCTCTCCTTCCCAGGAACTCAGGTCACTGGAGAGGAAACCACACACATACAAACCAAAACAACAGAAGCCAAGAAAGAGCCACACTCTGCTGCAGGGACCCAGGCCAGCCGGCCGCTCCTCAGAAAATTAAAACTGGAATCACCCTCTGAGCCGCCACTCCCAGGCGCATCCCCGGAGGACAGGAGGTGGGGTGGCCCACAGATGCTCACGTCCTGCGTGTGGCCACTCTGCTCCCAAGAGGGAGCAGGTGAGTGGGTGAGCGGAGACATACAGCCACATCGAGGTGCAGGAGGGCCACACCCAGAGAGGGAGCCAGGCACGAAAGGACAGTCCCTGCAGGTGCCCCCGGCAGCATCCACAGAGAGATGCCGGGGCGGGCAGGGCCAGGGGTTCCCATCTGATGGGGACAGAGCTTTAGTGTCGGGTGACAAGGTCTGGAGAGGACGGTCCGTCACGTCACGGTGTGAGCGTCCTTAATGCCATGGAGCTGGACTCCTGAGGACCGTGTTTAAAATGGTAAATTTTACTGTCTATTGGCTTTGGCAGGCAGCGCACAGCACCTCTCCCAGACCTGGAAGATCGCGCCCTAGTTTTCCTGGGGCGCCAGTGTGACCTCAGTTTCCCTGTTGCTCACTGCACCTGAGCCCCTCGGGTCTTTGCCGAGGATCTGCTCTAAATCACCCTGTCAGGGCCATGGCCACCCCACCTCCATGCACGCGGGGACCTGTCCTTGGGGGACACTGGGTGGAGCTGCCCACTCGGGAGGAGAGGACTCTGGGGGAGCCTGCGTCTTCCTGCACAGATCTGTCTGCCTGGGCAGCCTATCCCCACGGGAGCCCCTGCCCTGACCACACCCCACTGCCCCCTGGGGACCCCACAGCACTGGGTGACACAGGTGACCTATGGCAGCCACCCACCCTCTGCTAGCTGCCCCTCCCGCTCCCCACTGGGGCCCCAGGCTGCTCTCCCCTCCCCCATTGTTTCCTTACTGGGTCAGACGCCAGCCACCAGGAGGCCGGGACCCACCCAGGGGTGGGACTTGGCTGCAGGCTGCAGACAGAGATGTCACCTCGGCACGGTTCTGCGCCCCCAGTGCCTGTGCCTTGTGAGGTGCCTGTGACAGCTTCGTGGGGTGCTTGGCCAGCATCAGGCAGCCCAGGGTCTCACAGCACCAAAAATGCACAGAAACAAATAAACTGGGATGTCAGAGGCTGGGCTGTGCAAGGACCAGGAAGGCTGACATTCACACACGTCCAAGGGCAGACTCCGAGGAGACCTGCGGCCCAGCACCCAGAGGCCACCCTTTCTCCTCGTTCATCAGAATGGACTCACGAGGGAGGGCACCTGGTGGGGCAGGAGCAGAGACACGGGGAGAGCTGGCTCAGAGCGTCAGGACCGCTCCCCAAGTGGCCTGGAACTCTCGGCACAGAGACGGGAGCACCTGGCCAACTTCCCGGCCAGCTGTGCGGAGCTTGGGCACACCGCTGAGGCCCCGAGCAGGACCGCAGCCCCACAGGGCGAACCGAGCTGCACTTCTCACCGCTTCAAAACTTACGTAATAAAATCCGTCTTCATCAATGTCTCCAAAGACACTAATGATATCTCCTGTGCAAAACGTCAGCTCGGCCTGCAGAGACGGGACACAGAGTCAGCGGCACCCAGCTGGACCAGGTCGTGCTCTCCAGAGTAAGTTCTCTGTGGCCACAGCTCGCAGCCCCGGGGCTGACTGTGGGGCCGCTGTGGCCACAGTCCTGGCAGAGCCAAGATGTGAGGCCACGGCGCTTGGTCCCCAAGTGGCTGTGAGGCCTGGAGCACGGGAAATGGCCCCGTGAGTGTGGACGCCCCCTGCTGGAGCAGGAGCCCTGCCCTATCCAGTGACCACCACACCATCAGAGTCTGGTGTCGCCCAGCTTTGGGACAGGCGGGCAGTGTGGGCACAATGCCCTGTACTTAGGGACCCTCTGCCCCGTGTGTCCGGTCCATAAGGCCTGACACAAGATAGAGGACACAACAGACATCCTTTTCAGGGGTCTAAACACAGGAGCAAGGGTAAAGGTCACGGGCGCTGGCTATTTGGAGGCAGAGGGCACCTGAGGGGGACTGATCGCGGCTCCAGGACCCGCTTGGCAGCTCTGGGCAGCCCGGGATGCCGCCTGGCCTTTCTCACTCCTGCCCATGACACGGGCCCCAGCCCAGCTCTGCCAGGGCTGAGGGAACCTCCTGTGCCCTCTTGTTTCCCTGCCGAGGTGCCGCTGGGGCTCACTGGCCTCTCCATCAGGGGTGGGACGGGGACACTTGTCAGGCCAGTGATGGGACCCTCCAGGACGGTGCTCCTGACGGGCACAGACTTGCGGTTCTGTGTGACACACACCGGGATTTTCCCAGCCCTGCTGGCCAGTGCACAGGTCCGTTATGATGGGACCAGACTAGTGAGGCCATCAGCCGCCAGACAGGGACAGGGACAGGGCCAAGGTGGGGGTCACACCTGGGGACAGGAAGGAGGTGACACTTATCGTGCTGCTGCAAGTGACGATTTAAAACGCACACGCCAGAAAATAAACTAAAACGGACACGTCGCTCATCTCCGGAAGGTCCCACGAGCCTCTGGGCCGCAGCTGGCTGTGGATGCCGGGTGACCACCCTGGCCACACCCTGAGGGTCGCCCTTTCAGACACGCACCATACCTCCACGTCCACGTTGGGTGAGCTCTCCCGCGGGTCGTAGTCGTATAGAGCCACCATTCTACGCGTGGACACGGGGCGTGGCCGGCCGCTCCTCCTGCTCCGCTCTGTGACCAGAATTGAGGTGAGGAGATCACGTGATGGCCCTGCCCAGCCGGGGGCCCACCCAGGTTCCGGTCACCCTGCCCCTCCAGGACCTGGGCCAGTGGCCCTGCCCTCCGTGCGCCCCAGCTGGCCTCCTGCTAGGCTCCGATTCATGTCTGTGCTCCTGCGTGGGCGGCGACCCTGCCCTCCACTCCCCTCCTCCTCTGCCCTAGCAGATCACACTCTTCGAAGCCCAACTTTCCCCAGCTGGGCCGGCACAGGGGTGCTGGGGCTTGGAGAGGCTCAGCAGGAAGCAGGGGGTGGAGGAGAGCCCTGGGGGACACCTGCAGCCTGGTGTCCAAAGTGCTCCTCCTAGAGCCGGGCCTGGGAGGGAAGCCTGCCATCCCAGCACTCAGGAGGCTGAGGCAGGAGAATCCCAAGTCTCAGCCCAGACCGGGCAGTTTAGCCACGTAGTAGGACTGTCCCTCAGTAGGATGGAAAGGCCTGGGGCTGTTGGTCGGTGTCAGGGCCTGGGGTTCAGCCCCGGAGCAATGAAACAAACCCCAAACCCAAACACCCAGCACCAAAGCGTGACACACACAAGCTGCTGTGGGCCAAGCAGGAGTCTGGGCACCATGGGGTGAGGTGGCCACGGCCAGGCCGTCCCACGAGCACTGCGGGGAGCAGGTTGTGCCCCCTCAAGGTGGGCACCAACCCTGGGCAGGGTGAGCCCACTGCCACGAGAGGAACAGGTGGGAAACACGTGACTCCCTGGAACGGGGGTGTCCTGGGTGCTGGGGGAGGACCGTGGTCTGAGGGCTGGGGCTGAGGCACAGCCCTTAGGCACAAAGGGCGTGGCCTGAGCTTTGTCCCTGCAGCTACACAGCAGGAGAAGAGGACTTCTCAGAGCATCACTCTCCTGGGGTGCAGGAGGGGGGCTCCGGACCATGGTGGGACCGCACACGGGCATGGCACGGCCGTCTCCCCACCACCACTTGCTACTGGCTCGGGACACGCAGAGCAGAGCAGTTAGCAGCCTGCACAACAGGACAGGGGCTACAGGCTTCTGCCTACTCGGGATCCCCGGATGCCCTGCCGGCTCGGCTCTGGGGAATGGACCACGCCCGGCCCGTGCTCAGGGCATGTGCAGAAAAGCAGCCGCTGCCTCGTGTTCCAGCCGGGCCTCCTCCACCAAGACTTCCCGTCCTGAGTGCACTGGGGCTCGTCCGGCGCCCGCACCTGTCTTCTCCACCGGGGTGTGCAGGGGCAGGAAGCCCTGGCGCAGGAGCTGCTCCCGCACCTCCTCATCGTCCGCCTGGATCTCGGACACCATGTTGCAGGGAATGAGGCCGAGCCGGGCGCAGGTCTCCCCGCGGTAAAACCCGTCAGCGTCCTTGTCGCCGTAAACCTGCAGCAGGGACAGACTGGTGCTGTGACCCCATTCCCAGCCTCCACCGGCACCCCACTCCCCTCCCCTCTCCTCCTCCAAGGCTCCTGAAGCCCACAGGCACTGCCCCCTGAGAAGAAGCATGACCCTCTCAGGGGCTGCTCCCCGAGGCCGGCTCTGCCCCCCGCGTCCACAGGGCCGCAGCCGTCCCCACCTTGATGATCTGGCCTTCCTTGAAGGGCAGCTCCTCTTCCGCGGCGTCAGGGTTGGGGGACATGGTGAGCGGGTCGTAGTCGAACAGGGCCACGAAGATGCGGGCCGGGAGCTCCTCTGCACCCAGGTCGGTCTCTGACTCTTCGTACAAGTCCGGGGAGAGGCGGTCGCGCCCCGTATAGTCATCTGCAAGCAGGTGGGGGACAGGGTAGGGCAGTTGACCTTGTGCAACTCAGGAGCGGAGGATGGTGGGGACGGCCCTCAAGTCTGATCTATGACAAATGAGCTGGGGAGATGAGAAGGAGGACATGGACCCAGAGGTCCCAGGCGGCCCAAGCCGGCTGCACGGCTTTGTCTCCATGGCCTGGGGCTGCCGGGCCCAGGTTCAGAGTGGGAGGGGGTTTACCATGTGCCTATGCTCCAGCTAGGACGAAAGCCAGTGACCAGGTGGCCACCAAGCCCGAGCCACCCACTGCCTGCCCCGGGACCTCAGCTCTGCAGTGGATCTGGGCTGAAAATACCAGCGTCTGCCTCCCACAGGGACCCAGGGACCTGGCCAGCGCCTCGGGGATACCAGACGGCTCAGAACTGGTCCAGAGCCCGCACACACCCCAGGTACTGAGCGCTGCCTCCCTGACCACCCACCCCACACTGCACATTCGGGGCAGACACAGTGTTGTAAAGGCGCGTTCCAGCTGCGGCTGTGGATGGAGGGTGCAGTGTGGCATCTGCAGGCCGCAGGGCAGACAGAGCGGAGCAGGAAGGGACCACGGCCCTGCTCACTCTGCCCCACCCACCGGCCCCCAGCTCCAGACGCAGAGTGGACAGGGAGGACTCAGGGTGGGGAAGGGCGGCCCGGGGTGGGGAAGGGCGGCCTGGGGTGGGGGAACCAGCCGGCTGAAGTTGTTCCCAGCATGGAATTCGGTGTGCAGGACCCTGGGGCCTGGGGACAGCACGGAATTCGGTGTGCAGGACCCTGGGGCCTGGGGACAGCACGGAATTCGGTGTGCAGGACCCTGGGGCCTGGGGAAAGCATCCTGGCTCATCTTCCTGGTCTCACTGGTGCCTCTTTTGCTGGGAGCCAAGCCGCAGGGGCAGCCCTGGTCCGCCACCGCTCACAGCGGTTTTGACTTTCTCACTAGACAGGGCACAGACGGGGTCTCTGTTGACTGACAATACTGTTTTTAAAGATTTTTATCACAATAATAAAAGGTGAAAATGAGAAAGGAAACACCTTTAGTGCTGCTTCCAGGGTTGGGAAAGACTCCCCGCCTTCCCTCCAGAGCCGTTTCCCCTCTGCTGTTTCCTGTGTGTGTGTGCCTGTGTATATGCACCCCTGTGTATGCGTGTGCAAGCCCACAAAAGGGCTGATTCCGGGCTCAGGACCTTGTGTTAGAGACTCTTAACATCCCTGCTGCCCTCCTAGGCGTGGTGGCCCGTGCCCGTCATCCCAGCACCTGGGAGGCTGAGCAGGAGGATCACAGTGTGTTGGAGGCGAGCCCAGGCTACACAGTGAGTTCAGTGCCAGCCTGAAGTGCATGGCAAGACCCATGCAGTTTGTCTGCCTCAAAACAAACAAATGAATAAATAAATAGCAGTCTCCCAGTGCCCCGCCTACAGGCCGTGAGCGGAGGCATCCTCTCCTGACCTCCAGCCGGGCCCTTGCCTCGAAGACACCCGCCTTGTGGCAGCTGCCGAAGGACTTCCGGAAAGTGATTAGGAGCCAGGAACCTGCCAGGCCACACGGGGAGAGTGGGGAGCAGAGCCCTCCGGGGGGACGGGAGCAGCAGGGAGCCCTCATGCTGCACCAGCAGGTCCTGCAGCTCGCCCAGATGTTCAGCACCCAGCTCTGCTCCAGCTCAGACCTGCGCCCAGCCTAAAGCCAGCACCTTGGAGGTCACTCTGAGAAACGGCTCAGGAGACCGAGCACCACCACCAACAGCCCGGTGGGCGGAAGAGGAGCTCGGCCAGGAGACGGGCGCTGCTGTGGGCTTCCTACCTGTGCGCACCCCCGCCCCCCACTTCCCGAGGGGGTCACAGTCTCTGTGCTGAGCTAAGGCACTGTCCCTAAGGGTTCCACAACGAACGGACAGGACGCGGGCCACTCACCGATGGGCAGCCGCGGCCTCTGGGGACCCGCACCACCGTGGGGGAACCTCCGGCCCCCGTGCTCCACCCTCTCTGCGCGTCCTGCCGATGCCGGGTTGCCTAAGATCTGGAGAGAAGACAGTCATGCGGTCAGGGTCTCGCTGGCCTTAGGAAGGAGGGCAGGTCAGTGAAATCAACTCGGATCGGAAGCAAAGCCGTAAAGGCAACTCAGCTTAGCTTTTAACTGGAGGGTTGGCTGAACGGCGAGCTCGGCCCTGCTGCTCACACTGGGCCCGCTCTGACCACCAGGGGACCCGAGGCTGCTGCTCAGATCAGAGTGAGGTGCTCCACACATAACCCAGGGCACCGTGGGGTCACAGCTTTGACCCCTTGGGCCCCCCACGCCCCGAACCCAGCTGCCACACAGCAGGAAGGCGCTGCAGTGCCAAGTCTTGGCTTGGCTGCAGCGGGATGTGGGGAGCCCCTGTGTTACCAGCTTTGGGGGTCCCGACATGTCAGCCCCACCCTGAAGATGCCACCACGTGCTGGGTGGCTGAGGGCCTCCTTTCAGGTCTCCTTCAGCCTGGATCAGAGGCTAGGACTGGTACAGACGTGGGCGAGGGGCTCCCTGCCCCTGAGGCCACAGTGGGGGACCCTGGGCGGCCCACATGAGGGCTCATCACAGAGCACGGGGCCGGCACCCCGGCTGCCCCCCCCCCCGGGTGTCCCCAGGGTCTCAGTGGTGGGAGGGAAGGGGCTGGGCCGAGGCTCACAGGGAGAAGGGCTGCAGACTGGCGCCTGGGTCTCCAAGGGTGGTTTTAGGAAAGAGAAAGCTGCTAAAATGACCGTGGTCCCCGTTCAGCTAACCCTTAATTAAAACTTAGGCTCAGTTGTCCTTTAATCGAAGCAGCCAGAATCATTACCGTCCTGTGGAGGAAACCGTCATCGACAGCCAGGGACAGGCGTCACCCGCACGCGGCCAAGCGGGGGGACGCAGCAAACCAAGCGCGCAGGAGACCGGAGCGCCCGACGCCAGGGTGACGCCCGCGCGGGGAACCACAAGCCCGGCGGGGAGAGCGTGACCCAGGCAAGCGGGAGGGGAGCGCCACACACCCAGGGACCGTCCTCAGCCCGGGGAGGAAGTGGCCCGTGCTGGACGGCCACCCTACTGTCCGGCCCAGCCACGCCTTTCCGCCAGACACCCCGAAAACCGTCGTGGTTGGTGGCCCGGTCCCAGCCTTGCTTCCCGGGCGGCGACCTCTCGGGGCTGTCTTGGATGTCACTGCTGCTGATGACATCTCCGGGGTCCACCTGCTCCCCAAAGTCCTCTTCAATGCTGCTCTGCCGGGTCAGTGTCCGCCGCCGGGCCAGCAGGGGCCGTGTGCTTCTCCCACAGGGGCAGAGGCCAGGGCCCGGGCCGCACTGGGCTTCGGTGCGCCCTACCCTAATCCGCAGCTCCTCCTCCTCGCTGCCGCAGTCCAGGCCACTGTCCGGGCTCCGGGTGGCCCAGCGGCCCAGCCGACCGCCTCTGTCCTCCAGGAGGAGGTCATCCGCGTGGGCAAGACCCCAGGGGACCCTGTGCTTGGTGGGGAGCCAGGAGCCAGGCGGCGCTGGGGGGCCCCAGCAGGGCGGGGCAGGTCCGAGCTGTGCGGCCAGCAAGGTCCTGGCTCGGGACGTCCCAGGGCCCTGCCAGAGCAGCGGCTCACAGAGGTCGGGGTCCTCCTCTGCTACCTCGGGGATACTGAAAAGCCGCTTGCTGCGGCGGGGCGGCTGGGGGCGCTCGGACTGCTCCAGGAAGGCACCTTCCAGGCTCCCAGGCTTATAGCACTCCTTGGGGATGGGGTGACAGAGTGGCGGCCACACACGGGTAGGGGCCGAGGAAGGAAAGAAAACACAGACATTAGTCACAGCGGCAAGGCGGGCAGGAGCTTCCGCTGCAGGCGGGCGGGGAGCCGGGCGCAGGCGGGGACAGCACAGGGGAGCAGATGCCATGCAGGGGGCCCGGGGGGCAGCTCAGACATGGGGTGGGGGCGGAGGTTGGGGGATGCGTCCAGTGCTGCGTCCAGTGCTGAGGAGACTGAGCCCAGGGCCCACAGATGCTCACAGGCGGGGTCCCCGCACCCCGACACCTGGTCCCCTCTCCCCCCTGCACCGAGCATAGCCTGAGCGCCCTCCCTGCTGGCATTTCTCCAGCACAGCCGAGCCCCGTGAGACCAGGGCCACTCCTGTCACCACGCCTGGGCCTGACCTGCTCGGTGTCCTCGGGGATGGGGACCCTGTGCCCACTACCCGGCCCGGGGCTGCCTGGCAAGTCTGTGCAAAGACGCCGCACGCATGAGACCCACAAATGGCTCCTCGCCCCGATGGCCCCCTGTCTCGACTCTAAGCCAGTGTGCGCTCTGGTTCAGGCCAAGGCGGGAGGCAGACGTGTCCGATCCCGAAGGGGAACGGCCAGGCCCCGTGGTCACTGCCACGTGGGAGCCCCAGCCTGACGCTACCACCCAGGCAACTTCCAAAGAGAACCCAGAAGCCGAATCAGCCTCCGACAACCTCTGCCTTTTCCCCCAGGGGGCCATGGTGGGCCGCACTGTGACCCCATATCTGGACCCTGCCGGGGGTTTGGGCAGAGACCCTGGAGCTCTGCGTCTGGGCCTCCCTGGGGAGAAGGCAGCTTCTGGTCTCTGACAGTGGCTCTGTCCTGCAGCCCGAGCAGCAGCCTTGGGAAGGGCACCGGCACTGCCCATCGCCTGTGGCACAGCCCAGAGTGGAGGGAGGGCAGAAGGCTGAGCCCTCTTGGCTGTGGGCAGGGCCGGGCCGGGCTCCATGCGGGGCTGCACAGGCTCTGGCAGGTGTCGGCACGGGGAGATCATCAGCGGTCACTCCGCATGCGCGCTGGGCCCAGCGTCCTCCCAGAGGCCTCTCCATCCCTGGACCCCCAGCCCACTGGCCTCCAGCTGCCTGGCCCCAAGCCTGGCTGCTTGGTCTCGCCGGGTGGCAGTGTGTGCAGGAGCCCGCACTGGCCCACCGGCGCCGACAGCAGTGGGGCGAAGGTCCCCATAGGGGGCAGCAGGGACGCCCTGCTGACTCAAGCACCTCAGGCTCTGTCCAGGCAGCAGCCTTCCCCGGCGGCCTCAGAGTGGACAGCAAGGCGGGGTCTGTGGGTGGACGAGCACCCCAGCCTCCCTGATTCAACTCCTGACACGCCCAGGGTGCCTGGGTCCACACTGCCCTGTGAGGTAGCCGAGAGCTACAGCGATTTCAACAGCGAGAAGGACACGGGTCAGGACTCTCCGCCTCTGTCATGGGGTGTCACAGGGCAAGGCCCCGCTCGCCCCTCGTCCCCCAGCCCGGCCGCTCACCTTGAGGGCACTGTGCGACGTGCCGCTGGACCGCCGCCGGCCACCGTCCTCCAGCGGCATCTCCGAGCACAGCTCCTCCTCGTCCTCCTCCAGGATGTCCGACAGGTCTGAGCCCCGGCTGCTCTCCGTGTGGTACTCGTCTCCGTGGCAACAGTGGGGCTATGCGGGAGGAGAGCAGAGGGACGGTCCTGACCCTGTCCAGCAGGCAGGGCAGTACGGGGTCCAATCACCCCGCAAACAACCGGGCAGCTGGGCCACACTCGGCACTGCTGGAGGGCTTAGGGAGGGCTGGCACACTCCTGGTGAGTCTGCTGGTCATGGAGGCAAAACCTGGTGACCATCCGGCCCTGCCCCTTCCTCCCTGGCACTGTCTGCTTCCGGCTTTCCTGCCCCGCATCGTTCCACCACGAGGTTCCCCCAGATTAGCCAGCCACGGACTGCAACCCCTGAAGCCGTGACCCACTGGACCTCTCCTTTAAACTGTGGACGTTGCTCAACCAACAACAAATGCTGGAGAGGCTGTGGGGAAAAAGGAACTCTCCTGCACTGTTGGTGGGAGTGTACACTGGTGCAACCATTGTGGAGGTCAGTCTGGAGATTTCCCAGAAAGCTGGGATTGGAAGTCCCATTTGTTCCAGCTATTCCACTTCTAGGCATATTCCCAGAAGAACTGAAAGCATCATACCACAGTGATATATGTGCACCCATGTTTATAGCAGCACAATTTGTAATAGCCAGATCTTGGAAACAACCTAAATGTCCATCAACTGAGGAATGGATAAAAAAGTTGTGGTGTTTTTATACAATGGAGTACTACTCAGCTATAAAGAAGGTAAACGGAGACTCCTGAGGGAAATAAATCAGACACAGTGTGTAACCGTCATATTGTCTCATTAGTGCGAGAAGCAGAGAGAAACAGCATACATGTATGTGTATGCACATGCATATAAAAAGTAGCTAAGAGAGTCATACTACTGGGTACCAAAAAAAAGCCATCTCTGCTACCAAAAACTAAAAAAGGCAGTCACACTACAACTATTATCTCTGAGTTCCCTGAAGAGGAAGATTTGTGGTGTTGTTCGGACAGCTGAATGCAGGTGTCTTGGGCTCTGGGTGAAGGATTCGGGGATGACAGTGTGCAATGTCTGCACCATTGCTGTCCCCCGACTGACCAGTTTTGAAATTCTCTTTGAGATAAAATGGAGTTGGAAATAAATTTAAAAATACATTGTAGGGGTCAGGGATGGTCTCCAGCCCACCAGTGAATGCAGACCCACAGACGAGCCCAGCGGGCGCCTGTAACCGACCCCTCCTGTTCTGCCCCGAGGACCTGCCCAGACCCATCTGGCTCGGCTGGGGGCTCACACGTGGACACTGACCCCATCCCCGAATGAGAAAACACGGGTCTTCTGCTGACCCAAACCTTGGTGCAGCAAGTGGCTCCTCCCCTCCCCGCCTTCCGGGACCCCGCGGCAGGCCGCCGGCCTCACCTGCCTGCCCAGCTCCGACCCCTCCAGGAAGTCTTCCACGGAGGGGGCCCGCCGCCTGGGCTCGGGCGAGGCGCAGCCGTCCTCCTCGTCCGAGTTGGCGTAGGGCCCCACGCTGCTCCTCTCCAGGAAGGGGCTCCTTTTCTCTAACTTGGAAAGAGACGGGCCGAGGGTGAGCCGGGCGGCGGGGTCACAGCTGGGCCCTCCCACAGCGCCGTGCAGGGGAGGGTGCTGGCCACACTCCAGACCTGCAGGTTCCTCAGGATCACCGGTAGCCCTGACCAGGCGGCTCCCGGAGTCCCTCCCCGCTCCCCATGCTGGCCCTGCTCCCCTGAGGCTCACCTCTCCCTCTGTTGGCCTCTCGTGCCCTCTGCTAATCCATCAGCTAACAGGACCCTTTTTTCTTTTTTAATTTTTTTTTAAAAATTGATTTTAGCTCTTTGAGACAGGGACTCACTAAGTCCCGACATTATCCAGGCTGGTCACAAACTTGGAATCCTCCTGCCTCAGCCTCCCAGTGTGCTGGGAGTCCAGGTGTGTACAGCACTCCTGCCTAACAAACACGTTCTTCACACTGAAGGCCTGGGCCTAGCCAGGCGTGTCCTGGGGAGTCCCCAGGGGTGCCCCTGTCAGGGCTAAAACCCTGCCCAAGTCCCGAAGTTGGCCCTCCAGCCAGAAGCCACAAGTTCACGGGCTGCCTTGCCTCAGAGGGGAGACCGGAGACGGCAAACATCTGGGCACCTCTGAGGGAGAGGCCAGGGCACCACACAGGCGCTCCGCACATCCCGCCATGGTTCCCACACCACACCGGCTGCTCCGCACAGCAGCGTGCAGATGAGTGTGCACACACGCACGCCAGAGGCAGCTCTGCTTGCCAGGACGTGGTGGGTCTGATGGAAAGCACAGGACTGGCTTAAAGGAAAGCGTCGTCAGTGCAGACCACGCCTGGCACACGCGCACGCTGGCCCTCGTCTGTTCTGCAGGACTGCGGGGTCCTCGCCTTCGGGTCCTGGACTCAGAACAGCTCTGGTGGTCACTTCACTCTGACTGGGCAGTGCCCGGAGTCACCGATGCCAGACCCAGGGAGGGAGCAGATGAGGACACGGCATCATTTTTTCTTTGGACGGAAGCAGCCGTGAACGTTTTGAATCAACCAGACAAGTGTGTCTGAAGGGCACAGCTGTTTTGAAGGGGACGCTTGGCACCATCTCTCATGGGCACACGGGGTTAAGCTTTTAGCTTACTTGGTCGCTGTGTGCCTTGACTGCACCGCACATGTGCCCACGCCTGTGTGGACAATCTGCGTGTCTGTGTCAGCTCTACCTGTACAGCTACATGTGCACACACTCGCATGCGCACACACTCACATGCACTTCAGCTGGAACCCCGCGGTGGGCAGTACCAGCCCCATTCAGGGCAGTCCCTGCCACCATGCAGCACATAGTTCTCAGGCCTGGTGGCCAGGACCAGAGCCATCTCTGGGGGTGCACACACCACGTCCCTTCAGCTATGGGCTGCTCATGTGTGGGCCACAAACACCCCACAGTGCAGTCAGGACCGGGCGCAGGGCAATGGGGTGCCCGTTCCAGCCATCTGCAGCCTGGACCAGGGACACGTGGCTGGTGCTGTCCCCACACCCACATGCCCTGCACGCTGTGCAGATGGACAGACGGATGGTGGGACCCCAGCGGACACCCCAGCTTACCCTGCTGGTCTCAGCCACCCTCTGTGCAGCCTCTCGGGCCATGGCCTTGGCGACGGAGGTGGACACAGGAGCTCCCTGCGGCTGCGGGAGGATGCGGCTAGGTGAGGGTGACCTCCGCCCAGGGCCGGTGCCCTGCAGGCCGGGCGGCTCCAGCAGGTTGCCATGCGTGGGGGCAGGCGTCCGGCTCTGCTCCCAGGGCTCCGCCTTGGCGTGGACACCCAGGTGCTCATCTTTGGTATCAGGGGTGCTGGCTAATGGCTTCGGTGGGGGTGTTGCCCTGGAGACGGGCGCAGGAGGGACCAGGAGGTCAGGGGGCACAGCAGCCGGCGCCGAGTCTGCGGACTCGCCCTGGGCAGACAGGGTCCGCACGGTCACCGTCTTCGCCTCCAGGCCTCGAAGCCGCCCGAGCTCCACAGGGGTGCTGTCTGCCATGGGGAAGATGACCTCGGCCACCTGCACAGAGACAAGGCCAGCTAATTAATGGCCGCGGGCACCCCACAGCCTCAGCCCGGCCTGCACCCTAAGGACGGACAAGGCCCTGACATGCACCTCGAGTTGCCCTCAGAATAGGGACCAGAAAGGGCCCAGCCTGGGACACGTCCAGCCAGAAGGTGCATAAGGCACAGTCCCTGTCCCTAGAGCCAGCGGATACCCAGAGCTCAGCTCATGCACGGGCATCGGGAGCTCTTCCTGCCATGGCTGGAGGGGCCTGGGCAGGCACCCCAGCGGGCACTCCTGACAGCGGGCAGGTACGGCAGCAGGTGCACAGGAGATGAGTCTCCTCCTTTCCCGATGCCAGGCGGGCGGTGGGCTGAGACGGTGCACACCTGTTCCCCAGAGCTGGGGCTCTGGTCACCTGCACATGCTAGGTCTCCAGGGAGGGACCCTGATGGCTGGGTCCCGTCCAGAGGGTGCTGGACCAAAGGCAGGGCCCGTGTCGGCGGGCCCTCGGTGCAGTGCCCGATGGTGGCGTCCAGCAGCTGAGGGTGAGCCCACACATCTCCCCGCAGGGAACAGGTCACCCCATGGCACCCCGCTGAGCTGGACTCTGCCCGCGGACTCCACACCCCGAGACACTCACCCGCTGCCCCTTGGCGTACACGCCGTAGCCAGTGACGTTTGCTCCGTTGGACAGCCCAGTGGGGGTCAGCGCAGGTGGCTTCCAGGAGACCTGGACAACGGCTGCGGTGGCCCCCGCTTGGACAGTGACATCTTGTGGGGGGGCCGGAGGGCCTGGGAGGGACAGAAGGAGCAGTGGCCTTCAGGGCAGGGCCTGCAGGTGGCCGTCACTGCTCCACAGCCCTGCCTGGAAGACAGATGACATCTTGACATTGGAGGAGGAGAGGACAGCAGTGGGGGGCACACTGGTTAGTGCCAGGGCACAGGACACATGGTCTCTGCATGGCCATCACTCACTTCCTCTGGGAAAAGCACCTGTGTCCTGGGTTCCTCTGTCACCACCAGCTGTGACGGGCTGGAGTCACCTCTGCCCAGGGACAGGCTACCGGTCAGCCAGGGACAGCATGGGGAGGACACGAGCCTCCCTCTCCCGCCCTCTGCTGCCTAGCTCTCTCCCCGTCACTCTTCATCAGACTCCGGGGACAGCGAGCATGGTCCTCATGTCACCACGTTGTCACACTATATGAGTGAGCAGAACCTAAGGCAGTGGTTGTCCTGGGTCCCGGGGCCCATCTGCCCCACGTCCAGCCCTGCATGGCTTCCAGGCCCCCAGGCCCACTGTTTCCTGTGGGCCAAGCCAGCAAGGGAAGATGTCGTGAACTGCTAGTTGGGGAAACAGGAGAGCAGTGGCCAGGTCACCAGGCACGGCGGGCAGCCTCCGAGTGGCCAGCCCTGTCTGACACCCGAGGGAGCGGCCTTCTCTCTGGGCCTGGGGTAAATCCTCAGTGCCTCCCCCGGGAAGCATGGACCACCATCCCATGGAAGGGACGCTGCAGCCCCGGGCAGGACACGGGGCGGACACCTCTGTGCTGTGAGGAAGCTCTCTGAGCCTCCTTCACACCCGGGTCAGAGGCCCAGCCTGACCTGATTTGGACCAGACTCAGACACAGCGCCATGCCCGCTGCAACCACCACCTGCTCCTCGGGCAGGACACACACACTGCTGCCGCCCCCAGGGCTTTGCTCCATGACCACGACAGGCAGCTGGGTCCCCCCATAACACACAGCTCGGGGACGACACCCCTGGCCAGGCCCTACTGCAAACCCCAGCTCTGCCGATCACCGCACACAACCCGGATGGCACTGTGGCCTCTCCACCTGTCCACTGCGGTCCTGTCAGATGAACACAGCACAGCGCCTCTGTGGCAGACAGACATCACCACAGCGGAACACAGCAGAGGTGACAGCTCCCTCCATCTGCCCCGGGCTGGTTCCCGGCAGGAGACGGTGGGGAAAGGCGGACAGAATGGGGGCAGAAGGGAAGCACAAAGGAAGGGGACCGTAAACACGAAGACAGGTCAATCACAATGACTCGGGCACGGCAGGACAGTAGGAACGGGCCGTCTGCACGCTGCCAGACCCGGCAACCCTCCAACGACCAGGGTACGACCACAGTCTCGGGAAGGGGAGCAGAGCGAGGCAAAACCATGTGGCACTGGGTGTGAAACCCGGGACCACTCCCTGAGGCCCAGCAACCTGAGAGGCGGTGACCAAGGAATCAAAGGAAGCCGGGCACAGCAGACGCCCGCTCCTGGGCATCAGAGGGACGGGGAGGAAGAGGCTGAAAGGTGCCCAGGCAGGAAGTGTCGGGAGTGACAGCCAAGTCACCGCAGAACCCCGAAGGCCGTGGACAGTGGACCCTGGGCACTTGGAGCACCCGAAGTCAGGAGCATAAGGCGGGGCTGGGGCAGAGCTCAGTGGCACGGTACCCGGCTGGCAAGCACAGGGTCCCGAGTCTGAGTCCCAGTACCCCCCAAAAAAGTATAAATGGACGTGAAATTCACACTACGTTAAACAAAAGCAGGCTGGAAGATGTCCGAAAGGCAATTCTCCAGGTTAAAAGGAAACAGTGCCAGATCAAAATGTATGCCCACAGCAGGAATAAAAAGACAGTGCCAAAGGTAAATGTAAGACTGTTTTTTCCAAGTTGTTCAAAGGCAAGCAAAGAACAATATCCTGAGGGCACTGTGACGTGTGACATGTAAATTTAAAATATGTAAAAACACTTGCAAGACCAAAAGGAGTCACCTAGGACTAGGCTGGACATAATTCTCCCATCATAAAAAACCTGTACATTATTAAGCCAAGATAACATCATACATTACGCACTCTGCACTCCACAAAACCCATAATGCGTCATCCCCTCTCCAAAAAGACAATTGAGGGAAAAAAAATAGAATTAAAAATCAGCTCACAAGAAGACAGAGAAAGGCAAACACACAAATGGCCACAGCATAAGTTAAAGCAAAGAGCACGGCACTGGCCTCACCTGGGTGCTCGCCCTGAGAGCAGGACCAGAGCCAGAGGCTGCCCACGGGACAGCAGCCGACCCAGCGGCAGACTAGTGACAAGAGGCTCCCCTCAGACGCAAAGCCCAGCGGACGAAGGTAGGGGGCAGACGTACAAGCCGAGGAGGGCAGGAGCTCGGGACGACAGCGGCCGAGCTTCCCGGGCAGTGCCAGGGTCAAGCGTCCCCCTGCATCTGCAGGACTGAAGCACAGACTGGGGCGGGACTTAGGCAAGCGGATGACTCCCTCCCCGCAGCCGGTAGACTGGGTACACGGCCCCCCTCCAGGCTGCAGGGGCCTGCGGGGCTCTGTCACACACACGGCCCGGGGACGCCTCCTCCCTGGTTAGGTCCGGGGCGCTCGGCAAAGGGCGCGCTCTGGCCAGGAAGCTCCGGGCCTTGGGACTGACTGGCCCGGGCAGGATTCCGTCTGACCCCGAAGAGTTAAATCAGACACCACTCCTAGCAGCACCCCGTCTTCTCTTCAGACCCCCGAGTCCTTGGAAATGTATCAACCCCTGGTAGCTGTGCGTGGAGATCCTGCGCCACCCGACACAGGGCACCGTTAGGCATCCTAACTCCTGAGAGCGGGCAGGAGTGTCAGGTCTGCGTCTCGGACCGCAGTTAGATACAAAAGTATTTATAAGTTTAAATACTACAGCAAAAAAGGACAGTTTTAATAGATGATCTGAGTTTTTGCTTAGAAAATGTAGGATTAGAAAAGCCAGTTAAACCCAACAGCTGTCGGGAAAAATGGAAGAAATGTAATCAATAAGACAAAAATTATTTTAAAAAAGCAGAAAATTCAAATAGCTGCAGCTTTGAATGCATTAAAAAATAGGTCTATTCAAAAAGACAAGAAGAGGAAGCATAAATCACCACTAGAAATTCATGACAAGAGGGCCTGGGATTTAGCTTAACACACAAGCACCTGCCCGGCAAGCGCAAGGTGGACTAAGGTCTCGGCAGGGCTCAGAGAACAGTCGTGTAGCACAGCGGGCAGCGCTGGGGGGCCCGATCTCGGGAGAGCAAGGCTGCACCACCTCTCAAGGGAAACTGGCCCGCTGCGGTGAGAAACAAGGAACCACCGTGCCTTCCAGAAGGGAAAACTGGCCATGTTTACACCCACGCTGTGGGGCAGCTCTCAGCACATCCGGGACAGGCAGGTCCTAACCCCAGCGAGGGCCGCGTCCTGAGCCCCTCCAAACCATGGCATCGGCAGCCGTGGGGCAGTGACCACTGTGCTGCGGTGCGTGTGTCCACCAGCCGGGAGCCGGAAGGCAGCCCAGGACGCTGCAGGGCAGGGTGAACAGAGACGAGAGCCCGGCGTTCCCACGCTGGACTCAGGCCCTGGAGAAGACTCCACACCGGACCAGAGCCCCACATGGGTGGTGGCGAGCCTGTCAGTTGGATTTCTTTTAAAACAAAAGACGTGAGTGTCAGAATCGTTTTTTCCTAAACCAAAGTTTTCCGGTTCAACGTGCGCTCTGATAAACGCAGCGTTCTGGGCTGAAGTTCGGGGACTCGGTCTCCTGACAGCTTTACCATCACCAGTCTGAATGTTAAAAATCTCACGGGCAAGGACTTTCTGAACAGAACTCCAATCGCACAGGAAACAGCATCAGGAACAGATCAAAGTGATCAAACTGCCCAGCAAAGGACACAGCGAAGGGTGGAAACCATCTTCCAGCTGCAGCCCGGGCAGAGCACGAACCTTCAGAACACACAAGAAACTAAAAGGACTGCAAACCTCCCCGAAATACGGACCCCGTGGACAGATGGGCGCAGTGGTCCCGTCATGACGTATGGCAACGTGCACTGCTAAAGCAAGACAATCCTTGTAATAGATTATAGAGACACGGGACGGAAGTCCCCGCTGACACACCAGTCGGCTCGGCCCCACAGAGGGCAACACGCCTTCCGTTCCCTCTCCCTGTCCTCCGCCCCGCTCCTCCCAGGCACACCCCCAAACGGCCCTGTCTTTCACAGGGGGACATCAGTGACCCTTCAGGCCCTTGACGCTGTCTTCTAAGCCTCTGCCACCCTCCGGTGAGCATTGGGGCTGGAGGATTTCACGCTGCCTGGAAAAGGACAGGGAGGGAAACACCGGGGCTGTTTGTAATGTCGCTGGCCCACAGGCCCGGACTGGACTGCGTGGCCTCAGCAGCACCGGCCAGAGGACAGCGTGGATTCGAGACCTGCAGCTGTACCATCTTGCGCTGTCGTGAAAGTGACCTGGGCGTGGACACCGCTTTCCACGGTCACTACATGTGACCGGGACACCAGGGTCCCGCCAGCAGCGTCAGCACAGTGTGGCCCCTGTCCTGTCAGTGTTGACAGACAGCAGAGGGCTGGTGAGCCGGGAGCCCGGACACAGCAGGGCGACACGCACTGGCTCTCAGCTATGCCATGCACGATCCAGTGTAAAACCACAGACCTTGGAGGGGCGCACAGGAGCACCCACGCAGGGCCCACTGCACACCTGGGCAGCAGAGGATGCCCCGAAGGACGCGGCTCACCTGCGGGCAGCGTGGAGAACTCCACCGACGCCTCCTTCTTCTCCCTCTGCTCCAGGGGCAGCTGCCAGGGCATCTGGTGCGGCCGCGCCACCACCCCGACCTTGTAGGCCGCATTGGGCCGCAGGTTGAGGAACTGGTACTTGTACCGTGCCGCCCTGACGACGTCCACCTCCTCCCCGTTGAGGAAGATGGCATGGCTGTAGTTGCTGTTGGTGGGCAGCCAGGACAGCTGCGCCGAGGTCTGTGTGATGCTGTCCACCCGGAGGTGCGAGGGGGCCACCACCACGTCCCTGCCCACCAGCAGCGTGCACTGCAGTGCGTCCGAGGCGCCCCGGCTGGTGACGCACTGCACGGAGATGCGGTAGGTGAAGGCGGCCGTGTCCAGCTTCTCCACCAGGGCCTTGGTCCTGGCGCCCAGTGGGAGGCTCAGGCGAGGCTCCGTGTCCACCAGCACGGTGTAGCCGCTCACGGTGCCCCAGCCGGGCGGCACGGCCGGGGGCTCCCAGCCCACAATGACACTTTTGGCGAGCTGTTTGATGAGGGTGAGTCTTCTAGGGTAAGGCACAATGTCTTCTCCAATGTCATCGATGTTCACGTCCAGCGAGTCCCCGCCGAGGTCAGCGGTGCCCAGGTCCGTGAGGGTCGGGGAGTGCAGGTCCAGGATGCGTTCGCCCTCCACGCCCACCCCGATGCCTGAGTGGTTGATGAGATTCTGGTCCTGCTCGCTGGCCAGGGTGCTGGCCAGCCGAGACTCGCTGTCCTGGACAAAGTCCACGAAGTTGGAGGGCACCAAGCCCCTCTGACCGTCCAGGAGTTCTCCTGCAGGCACAAGGACAGGGGTCACTGAGCTGTCCACTGCGGGGCCCGCTGCCCGGCACACACAGCCCCTGTCCAACAGGTCCTCAGCAGTGGGTGCCCAAGTCGCCCTCCTTCCCCAGTCTGGCTTTTGCACCAGGCCATTTGGCAACATGACTGCCCTCAAGCAAGACGACACCCTGTGAGCAGAGACCTCGAGTCCCCAGTGCCCAGCCTGCCCAACCTTAGGGCCCAGCAGCGCTCAGTGGACGTTCGTCAGAGGGATGCATGGGTGCATCAGACACGTGCTCTGGGAGGTCAGTCAGTAACCACCC